TAGCAATTAGATAGAAGATAGATAATTAAACTTGTATAAGTAACGAAGCATGTAACTTAATGTCAATGGATTATTTAAATTATTGTAAATTTTCTCTTAGTTTGTAACACCCAATCTATGAAGTATAATTTCAACTACCCAATAATAAATCATATCTGATTGTATCATAGTGGCTTAGTGGGTCCTGCAATTGTGATAGTGATTTGGTTACAATCTTCTACGTTATCTCATTAAATAGTAGTTTATTCAAAATATTTGGAACCACTCATTGATAAGATATGTTGGTGCAAAGTCATATTTGAAATAGAGAACCAAACAAATCTTAGAACAAGGAAAAACGCTCCATCTCCTCTTTCTTCAGTCGTTCCAACGCTTGCATGTCATCCATTTCCATTGAAGAACCACAAGCCTTAAAACCCAAATATGTTCGAACCTCAAGAGCACTACCACCGTCCATGGAAGATCACGGTGGTCTATCAAACGCTTATCCTCCGTGCTTGTCTTGCCGGTTCTATTGGAAGCTCCTTTATCCAGAATAAACCGCCCTCTTCTTTCGGTGGGGATGTGGCCAGATGATGCGCCGCTTTATTACCTTCTCGGTGTATGAACTAGAAATCACAGCTGTAATTAGGGCTGAGCAACGAAACCGAGAAAATCGAAAAGTCGACAAGAACCGAGTAAAACGGTTCGGTTCGGTTCGATTTGGTATTATACGGTTCGATTTTCGGTTCGGTTTAAAGTCCCAATTCTTTTGATTTGATTCGATTCGGTTCGGATTTTCCATATGAAACCCATTTATTCCAAATTGAACCGAATAGATAATTTTTTTTTAAAAAAAAAAATTATAGTTTCAAGTGATTTTTTCATTGAAAAACCGAACCGAACCGAAAAACCTGAACCGTTAAAAAAATTGAACCGAACCAAAAAAATCAGTTTCGATTTTTTCGGTTTTTTAACCATTCGGTTTCGATTTAAATTTTGAAAAACCGTTTATTTCGGTTCGGTTCAATTTTTGGTAAAAAACCGAATCGAATACACCCCTAACTGTAATCCATTACTGTAAATATCAATAATGGAACGAGCTGAAACTATAGAATAACAATTATAACATCAGGATTCAATCCCTATTTAAGTTGTGAAATGGAGTTGCTGTTGTCCAAAAAACAACTTGTTCCAATGCAAGAACAAAGTTGTGGTTCCAAATTCCAACAGAGGGAGCCTCCCAAGGTGCAAATCCAAGATCATTACCGACTTCACGTGGGCATATTGCCATTCTTTGTCTCCACTAATTGCTTTGACAAACATATTGAGTAACTAATGTGTACATATAGATAGCGATGGAATTAGGAATTGTTAGAATATGATCGTACCTTCTGAAAATTTTAAATTTCCATATAGATTATGTTTTTTTATATATTTTTATCGATAATTTAGTTCACCACTCTTAAATTTTTAATATAAGTTTTTAAATTTGTATCTCCTAACATAAAATCATGTATCCAACTACATATCCAAGTATAGATTAAATGTGCTCTAAACCTCAAGTTAAATCTGAGGTCCCACAACCCAAGTAATCAAAATAATCTCGATCATGGATAAGGTTACAATTGAAATAATAAGATTGTTGTATATGGGCACTAAATATTTAAGTTCTAATTTCCTTTTCTAGAAAATTGCAGCTTTCGAACTTGCTTGTCAAGCATAATCTTGGTCCATTACAATATCAGCTCTGGCATGCTATAATTTATTGCCTTGGAGCACAGCCTGTACTTGGGGCTTCTAGGGGTCTCGAAATTTGCTTCTTAGCTGGTTACTTTTTATATTTCTTCAAGAAGAACAATGGTGGCAACTACAAGTTCATATTTGGATTAGTTCTTAGTACCAGATCTCAATAAACTAACGCCGACAGATTTTCGAAGTTATTAATGAATATGAAATATCCAGTGAGAATGTTGTTATATGAATTAAATGTAAAATTAAGATTATATCACATATTGCCAAACTAGGAGTTTCAACTGGTCCCAGTGCAGCAACAGCCATGTACTCGTTGTAGAATATGGAGCCAAAGCTAATTAATGTTAAATATGGCTTTTGCTTAACATCAAACCTAATCAATTGGTAATAAGTAAAACAATCTCATTTTGAATATAAATTTGGAGGTAATTCAAGTTTTGAGCCTCATTATATATAAGTAGAGAGAAAGTATTGTCCAGGGATCAAATTCAGACATAGGGCTTACCAGGGAATTACGCAAGATATTATGCTAAGAGGGTGAATTTATAAAATTTTAGAGAGGATAACCTATAAAATTTTAGAGGAAAAAGATAGCATGTCAAAAGAAAATATTCAAATTATATGAAATTTTTAGGGAACGACCGCTCTCACCTACACTCTTGACTCTTGGTCCATCCCCAAGATTTACTATCAAGTCCTTCGTTGCTCATTATTGTTCTATTGAGGTCAAAATTAGATTCATAATGTACGATTCCGTGTACAAGAAACTTACTTATTGTTGCTTAATTGCAGATTGCAGTTCATTCTCTATGATAGCAGCTTATGCTGCTTCTTTTGGATAATAAAAACTTTTAGCTCCCAAAAAAGGGTAATAATAAATCAAAGGGATACGCATAGATGTAGAATTTGATAACTAGTTCTCTAACATCAGTGTCATGTTCACTTTTCTTGCTCTATCAACAACATATCTGCTGCAGGAAGGTCTAGGTTATTTGTATTTAGCTCTATATTTATCCAAATCCAATAGTTTTGAGTTTTCAGAAAGATTAATTTTTCTCGGCTGATATTATATAGTTAAGATATGTGGAGTTGGTGTTACTGCTATAGTTCAAAACTTCAAATCCTCACATGGATCACCGGCATTTGTTCAACTATCTAAAACATCATTGGAACTTGAAATATTGAGGAATGTATTTCTATTTGGAGCTGGAATCCATGACGTCGAGACTCGAGATCATTACTTCGGTTTGGATAATTTAGGAGTTAAAAAAATTAATTTTTGAGCCAAAGCCATATGAGATGTGATTCTCTAGGGGGATTATTTCCTTGGAATATGGCATAATCAAACTGCAGACAAAAAATAACTCTTGATGAGTATGACTGTTGCCTTGGAGATGACTATCATAGGATAACCCTTTACTGTTTCATCCAGAATGTGAAGCCACCTCAGCCATTAATGTCATGCCAAATGCTCTGTGCATTTTGCATACTAATATATGTGTAGCATGACTTTTAAGAAGAGAGTAATGGTCCTTCCTACCATTATTGCTTTCAACAATTTCAGCTCAGAACTGTAATTGGTGGTCCAGTTAGCATTTTGGCAGCATTTTATATTGAAAATTTTGGCATTTGGTGAGGATAAGTTTGATTCAAGTAACGCCTCAAAATTTGATAACTAAACCGATTGAGTTTTTGTTCGAAATTCACCGATGGTAAACCATCGTGATATTAGTCTGATTTGGCAGCCATCTATGACATAGAGACTATTTGAATATCCCACATTATCTGAGCACGTATGCTATTCAATATGATTCATAGACATGTATGCTATTCAATATGATTCATAGACATGTATGCTATTCAATATGATTCATAGACATTCATAAGTTTGATATATACGCTGAAGGAGTTGTTTGAATAGTATTTATAATACGTGACATTGTGTGATACCGAGTATCAATACTACTGTATTATAATTGTGTGAATAATTTATTATTACTGTGTTATAGTTGTTTGGATAGTAGTACCTCTAAGTTCTTTTATGTTCAACTACCATTGTGAATAAGATCTTGTGTGGTGGTTTGGAATACGTTACTCCCTTTACTTGTGTAAAATGTTGAGCCTTGATAATTAGCTAAGGAAGATAGATGTTTATATTCAATCCCTTCCTGCTTATGTTTTAGAAACTCATAAAATGTGTATTACTAAGTTTTGTAAGCTCATTGTTCGAATTGTTTCCGTTCGTATGTTACAACTTTCTTGATTTGCAATGAGACATCAATATTATTGGAGGAGTCTCAGTTGATTCTCAAATATAGTAAATATTTACTTAAGTGGGCATATATAGATTGAAACCTTAATGAGTCAAATTTGTATATTTACTTGGATATCATTTTGTTTGCATATATGATTTTACAATGAAGGAGCTCCAGATTTTATATTTATTATTTTAAAATTGAAATTTAACGATTTTTATTGTTTTTAAATTTTTAGGTCACTCTGGTGATCGGGTGTGACATTCGTAAATTCATTGAATATTTTCAGTCGGATTTAAGGTGTTACAATTCATGAAAGATGCATATTGGATTTGAAAACTAACAGCATCTTACCAAACGCACCATGACCATAATAGTATGTTGACCAAAGGTTGCTTAAGCCTTAATTTTTAATAGATCGAATTTGGAATTCATGTCAGCTTGATGTGAATTTAGCTGAAAATAGTTTTAAATTGATCTCCTTTGGGATCCATTGTATCAATTGAATTAGCCCTTTGAAACTTCAGCTCTGCTTGATCTTTTATCTCTAATAATTAAGTTGGCACAAAATTGTCAAACATTTACTTTGAAAATGTTCAAAGCTCAAGTTTAATTGTGTAGCTCTGTATGATGTGAATTTCTTGTGAGGACCATCTATGGCTGCAGCAGCCACTGGTCAAGTCCTACACTGCTTATGCTTTCTCTGAAACTTGAAGCCCCATTGATTTCTATCAGGGTTCTGGTCATTTTCTTATAGAGCAAGGAAACCGCAGACAGCTTTATAAATCTTGATTGTTTTATTTTAATCACAGTTCCAATTACCTCCATAAACGAGTAGAATCATAAGTTTTAGAGAGTTGAAATAAAATATTAGAGGTTGGGGGATTGTTTGTGCATATATAGTATCAAAGTATAATAAAAAAATTGCAGGTGGGTGAGAAGCTTATCATTTGGGGCTGACCCTTAAAAGCATCGTTTCAAATCCCAATCACATGCTACACTCATCACCCTCTCTATTTAATCTCTCTCCCTTCCTCTTTCCCTCTCACATCATTTCAAACCAATTCCACTCTTCTCTTCTCTATTGCCTACAAAATCATCATTTCTTCTTCATATACATGTCTAGCTGCTGTCATAACATGACGAATATGTTTCAATCTTTTGGTCCTGATGATTTTTTGAGTAGCCGGTGCATATGGGTGAATGGACCGGTCATAGTCGGGGCAGGTCCCTCAGGTCTTGCCGTTGGCGCCGGGCTTAAAAACCAAGTTGTGCCATTCATAATCCTTGAACGAGCAAACTGCATTGCCTCTCTTTGGCAGAAAAGAACTTATGACCGTCTTAAGCTTCATCTTCCTAAGCAATTTTGCCAGCTACCCAACTTTCCATTCCCTGATGACTTCCCTGAATACCCCACCAAATATCAGTTCATAAGCTATCTCGAGTCCTATGCGAAACAGTTTGATATTAACCCGCATTTCAACGAGACGGTGCAGTCTGCCAAATACGATGAAACTTTCAGTCTGTGGCGAGTCAAAACGGTTTCAACCAGCGGTCCGAATCCTATCGGAGTTGAATATATTTGTCGGTGGCTCGTGGTCGCCACAGGGGAAAATGCAGAGAAAGTTGTTCCTGAATTCGAAGGCTTGCAAGATTTCGGCGGTCATGTTACACATGCATGTGACTATAAATCTGGTCAGAGTTACAGCGGAGAACGTGTTCTAGTCGTTGGATGTGGCAATTCAGGCATGGAGGTCTCTCTCGATCTCTGTAACCATAATGCAAATCCATCGATAGTTGTTCGGAGCTCAGTAAGTGAAGATACATTTCACCAAATCATTTTATGCTAAGAACAAAGACTTTTCAAACTAAAATTCTTATTCTTTTCTAATCTGATTAACAGGTTCATGTCTTGCCGAGGGAAGTTTTCGGCAAATCGACTTTCGAATTGGCAGTGTCGATGATGAAGTGGCTACCCCTTCGGGGTTGTTGATAAGATAATGCTCATTCTGGCGTGCTTAATACTAGGAAACACAGAGAAATATGGCATGAAAAGGCCGTTAATTGGACCATTAGAGCTGAAAAACACTGCAGGAAAAACACCTGTACTGGACATAGGTGCGTTGGAAAAGATCAGATCCGGTGAAATCAAGATTGTCCCAGGGATAAAAAAGTTCTCCAGGGGAAGAGTTGAGCTTGTCAATGGCCAAACTCTTGAGATTGATTCTGTAATTCTTGCAACTGGGTATCGAAGTAATGTTCCTTCATGGCTAAAGGTGAGGGGCACCATCATTTCACATTGATTTCTGTTTATTCCATCTCTTCTGGGATTCATGTCTCAGTTTTGCATGTCTTTGACCTTAATTGTTTCTAGATTTCTTGTCTTTTCAACTATTTAAGACATTCACTTGTTCTTACAAAACTCAAAAAAACTGTCAGCATTGTTAGTTTTTTGTGTGATGATTTGCTTTTGTCTTATTCATGCAACAAAATTCCTTGTTAGTTTTATAATATTCTGAGAAACAGTGAATTAACTTGTTTCTATCTCCCTAAACCAAACAAATCTAGGTAAAAAAATGGAGAGGTCAATGATTTTCTTTTTTATTAATCATTTCCTAATCATTAATGATTCCACAGGATAATGAGTTTTTCTCAGAAGAAGGGGTACCAAAGAAGCCATTCCCCAATGGTTGGAAAGGGAAAAGTGGATTATACGCAGTAGGGTTCACAAGGAGAGGCATTTCTGGAGCATCATTGGATGCTATCAGTGTATCACATGACATTGCCAAATGCTGGAAAGAAGAAACAAAGCACAAGAAAACATCCATGGCTGCTAGGCATAGGAGATGCATTTCCCATTTCTAAAGCACCTCCATTTATCGATTAAACATACATCGGATTCACATTAGATCTCGAATTCGATCTCATCGGTTTGCATAGAAAATAATGTAGATCTGTGTCAACACACCAAGTAGCCCTCTCCTCGGAATAACTCTTGTCATTTGTATTTATTTTATTTATTTACTGTATTGTAACAAAAGGAAGATGAGGCTATTCATTCTTCAATTACCATTTTGTATTCGTTTCCTCTTTCCTATTGTATTACATTAATAAATTCACAAGTCAAATGGATCTCTCGTGGTCAACGAAACATTAACTAATGGGCTCTTTTATTCACCTTGGATACATTAAATACGATGGACCCCATCTCCATTATACCTAGCATCACAAGAAAATCTCTTCATGCCATCATTCTCATTGATTTTATTCTAAAATTTTCAAGAGAAAAAAAAAGTGTTCCTTTCTCACATGGCTAGAGCCCACAAGGAGAAGAAAGGATAAGTAAATCTTATCTTTGAAATATATAGAGTGGAAATGCGCTGAGTCCACAGTTTGGGAACAAAACTTCTTCTTCCAAAATTGAAATGGTTCATGCAGATAGCTCTCGGGTAAATCAACTTCAACTTCCCATAGGAGTATTTAATTAGTCTTCTAATACCTAAGATTTAGCCTATATACCAACAACTCTCCCCTAAAGTTAAAGTGCAGTATTAATCATGTGCAACATTTTACATAGATAATCAATTCGAATCATGTTAAGAGCCTTTATGAATATATCACCTAGTTGTTCAAATTTTCACATATGTAGTAATGTTACATCGTTGGATCTTTTCATGAATGAAATAACAATCAACTTTAATATAGTTTGTTCATTTAAGAAAGATCGGATCACCACAGCAAGTATTAAGACTTTAATTCTTACTTCATTAAGGAGTTGATATACATGTATGATTTCATATATTCAACTATCGTGCTTGATCGTGAGACTAATTATGTTTCTTACTCTTCTCCGAAACAAAATTTATCCCAATAAAAATACAATATTTTAAATCAAATCTCTTATCTTTCTTACATCCACGCATATTACTAATAGAATAATATCTCTTTAAGAATACTTATAGAAAACAAAATGGGTGACTTTCTCTTTCGTACCCTAAACCTTCCAAGAACCTGATTAAACTTTCTAAACCAAGTTCAAGGACTTTATTTCAAACAATGTAGTAATTTTTGAAGATGACACACTTTCCCATATGCCCCTTAAGTAACAGAATTAGGAGGTTGATTCATATATACCTTATAGATCACCATAAAACAAGCATCCTTTATGTCTAGCTGATCTAGAGGCTAGTAAAAGAGATAAACAACCTAACAGAAGTAAGCTTAATAACAAGAAAAAAAAGTGTCATAGCAGTTCACTTCATAAGTCTAAACATATTCTTTAGCAACAAACACTGCTTTCAGTAAAAAAAAAATGCAACCATTAAGAATGTCATAGCAGTTCACTTTATAATTGTATATATTCCCATAGTATTGGTGAACAAAATACAAAGAAACTATTATTTTTCCTAATATTTTACTGGGTATCAGAGTCCTAAGTAATTTAGGATTATTTATTCATTAAGTTATCTTAGGTGAGAGGGCTTATTGTCGAATTTCAAAAAGGCAGATTTGACATATTTTTCTTTCAACACTGCCAGCCTAGGAAAATTTGAGAGGTTGTCGAGGACTTCAAAAATCATTCCTATTGAAAACAAACTTTATAATAGTGATAAGCAAGGTCCATCCACAAAGATTGATATTATAGTTGGAGCATTTTTTTATAATACAAATTAAATTAAAAGTCTTAATTAAAAGAAAACAACAAAAAATAAAATGGAATTCGATGATATCTAACCAGGGTAAATTGTAGATTTTAATTTAGGATTATCTAAATTTTTTTAAATAAGTTTGTTATAGTTACTTGAGACGCCCTAATCATCTAATCTCTTCTTAATTTATTGTTAACAGAAGAGGCGATGGAATGATTAATTTACTTGTTAATTAGACAATCCCACGTGAATACTCATAGAATTTAATCTATATAAATTAATCTTATAATACCTAAGATTTAACCTATAAGTCGGTTAGAGATATCGTAATTCAAGATTCTGCTAGAATTTCTATATACCCTACTCATTCAAATGACTTTTAGGTCGAGGGGTGAGTAAAATGTTTGTAAAAGATCATCATTTTAGTATTTTTTACATTTTAGTATTTTCTTGTTAGGTTTCTAATGTATTTGTTGGGCTTATATAGACCTGGTGTAATTTTTTTTACTTTATTTTATAGAAATCGCTAATTTTATTAAAAATAGAAAATATTCAAATTACAATAAACGTTTACAACCATAACTGTAAACTAAACATATAATAAGAATATTTTCCTAAACACAAGAAAATTAGTCACTTAAGATCATAAGGATCATACAAGGAAAATGTTAAAAAAACCTAACCAAATAAATCGAACAAGAGATAATACGAAACGTATCTGACTACATCGGTAAACGAACCATAAAAAAAATAAAGCTATTGAAAGTCCACCTACATACTATAAATCAAAATTGAATGATGTGAAAAAATTATTCACGAACGCAAATCGCATATCCAATTTCAATTCGAATGTCCAAAGCAGGGAAGATCATCATGATAATAAATAAGCGTCAACTTGATCAGTTGTGGCGATGTCAAATCCAACCCTAAAAAATTAAACGAACACAACGGCCAAATAACTGAAAACGTGCCATAAAGGCAAAAGAATACGTGCCAATAAGGCAGAATGATTAAGAATAAAAAATATAGATATGTTATAATAAAAGAAAAGAAAAATAATAAATATCGACGGTCGACAATCAACACCAAGACTGGTGTCAATCACCAATCATAAAGATGAAGAAAAAAAATAGAGTAACGATATCTATGGAAAAAGAGAGAGAAAAAGAGAACAAACCCTTAGTGAATTTTTTTTAGACCTGGTGTAATATTAAGTAGTTTGTCTATTCAATTAGAATATGCCAATTTAGGTTTATATGGACTTAAGATGTGATATTAAATTGTTCAATTAGTCAATTAGAATATAATACGATGATCAGTTATTATTAATAAAACTGAACTAATCAATTTAATGATCCAAGTATATATTTTATTTAGTTTAAAAATAGTTATAAAATATATAATTCTGTTAACCAGAATTCATTGAATGATTTCAGTGATTTAAGGGAGTATTATTCTCTCTTGAGATCTTAAATTCGAGTAGTTGTATCTGCAAGATGTGTATGCTGCCAATATTTTTAAAATATCATGGTTTTTTAATTGAACATATGGAAAAAAACCAATTACTCTACATTATCAAGATAGCATATATTATTTGAAGCTATGGGATGGAGAACTTTAGGTTGTAATACACAAGTTTGGGAAGAAAAGTAAGAAATGTTAGAGATAGTATGAACGAACACATAATTTCATATTAGGGGTATATTTATGAAATTGTAGAGGAGCGGATTTATAAAATTTTAGAAGCGATAAAAAAATCATCCATCAGTGGGAGTTGGCATGCATGGCATTTAACAAGTAGAATCCATCCAGACAAATGCAGCCAAAGTTATACTTCTTTTTCCCATGATTCACCTTTTTTCTCTACTCTCCTTTAACTTCACCTGGTTTCCCATTTGGTACTGCAGGTAAAGAGAACTTCCAACTGCTTAAAATAAATAAATAAATGTGAAGCACAGACACACCATATGACTACCCATGTTGTTGATTCAATGGCCCCCTATACGATTTCCTCAACACCACAATCAAATCTTTCATATAAAATTATTTAATCTCATTCCTCAAAACCATCTGCAGGTTTTTCTTGCTCAAACTTGTTTCAAAGAAATGAAAAAAAGAAAAGAAAAGTGAAGGCAAAGATTTGACAGTTTGAAAAGTGTACTTGTTCTACACTACAACATTAAAACTTAAAACCATGCACCTGTCCAATTACAATAGAATTTCTCTATGTTCTAACTATTATTTCGACATCACAGTTACCGAGAACCGAAAATCACATGGGACTTGTCACTTCCAGGGCAAAGACCCATTCCTTTTTGTTGCACAGTAATAGAGTCACTGTTTTCGCTACTGACAATTGATGCATAGTGATTATGCATTCTATTGTCATGGATACATACATGCAAGAATATTATCTGCATCCATGCAGGGGGTCTTTGCCCTTCTGAATATAAAAGTTTGTTCTTTTCCAACATGATTAGTTCGATTCTAAATGCAAAAAAAATGGAATTTATGGAGTTAAACCAAAGCATCAATAGATACCATGAACCAAAACCAGCCAACAGAAAACAACCAAAACTTGGGGTCAGTAAGCTCATATCCATGGTGCAAGATCCAAGCCAAATGGATGTTACCTTCTAATGACTTAAGACTAGGCAACAAACAGAACCGAGCCTTTTAATCCAAAAGAAAACATGTGCAAATTATACAAGATCAGTCCAGATGGCGACAAGCTAAACCAGGCCAGCTGCTTCTTGGAACCTTAACTTAAGTTGCAGAATATCATGTTCAACATTGACTGCTCTAGGCGCTTTTCAGGAATTAATTGAGTTCAGTGAAACATCTTTGGTTCAATAACATTAAAAATTGCAACCAAGCTGACTGAGTCTCAATGCTTACCAATTCATGTGATGTAAAATATTGATCTACTGTTTAAATCATCTTGTTTGGATAATGATGATTTTTCTTTTATTATTAAAAATAGTAATTACTCCATCATATTTTTTTCATAATGTCCAAGGCTTATTCGCCTCTCTTATGATGATCTGCCTATTTCTCATCTGTTTTTTTTTCCGGGATGATCTTGTCCAATTCAATAGGGCAGATTTAAATGGAGCTAAGTTTGTTTTTTTTTCAGGTGAATATTCAGAAGTCTCAGATCTATTTTTTCTCAAATACTTGAACACAGATGCAAGACCTTAGCACTAGTGAGTTGGGTTTCTAATAACTAATGACTTGGGGAAATATTTGTTTTCAGAAGCGAGTGACTAAGGAAACGTTTCATTTTGTTGAGAAGGTTAGAAAGCGGCTGAATGGATGGTTTGTCTCTAATTTATCGCTTGCAAGAAGGATTACTCTTGCCGGATCAGTTTTGTTTGTCATTCCAGACTACTTCATGCAAACAACATGCATGTCAGTCAGTATTAGCCACCAAAAACTTTATCTGGGGTCGACTCAGAAAGCTAGAAAAACCCAAATGTTAGATGGGGAAAATGCTGCCAATCAGTGGCGGGTTCATGCTATATTTAGGGTAGGCAAATGCAAAATATAATTTTTTTTTCTTCTGAAATCTAAAATTTTGTGTTATTAATATATATATACTTGAAAGAATTTTGGATTCGCTACTACTGCCAAGCCATTAACAATTGTGGTCTGGGGATTAGGAGCCATTAATAGATCATTACATTGATTTGTCTTGAATTAATATGGAGGCTACAGTGGCATCTGTGGTTACTAGCGATGGTTAATAGAGGTGGCATGAATTTGTGAACCCACTCCTCCTGCCATACTCCACATTGCTGGGGTCAAAGCTCCAACCCAAGGGGATGGAATACTAAACATGTGTTCCCCTTTAAAGATGCTTATGGAACACTAGGCATCTCCAAATTCGGATCAGTCTCGTGATTCATGCAAGAGTATATGACAAACAAATTGCATGCAATGCGTAACAATTTTCTTGTGGCTTTTGAGGCAATGGATTCACGCTGATAAAATTCTAGGTCCATCCCTGATTCACAAATCAATAACGATGGAAAAGAGGGTTGACTGCTAGCGCTTATTGCGGTATTTGTAGTATGAGATTGCATGGTTGCACGAAACACGTGGGAAAAATTGGTCCCAGTTTCAGCTCATTGTGCGTTTTTTGTGGCCAAAAGATGCATCAAAAGCCTAGATCCTTGAAGAAAAAAATTCTAATGTTTTAACCACCTAAACTTGCTCATCACAAATACTATAATTTCACACTACAAACTTAGGTCTTCTGTCCCTAATACCAATTGTCAATTATAGTTGATTATAACAAAATTTGATCAACCAAGTGACTGCAACAAGGGCAGGGCCTTCTTTATTGCCTTCTCTCAAAATAATACACAAGTTAGATTTTGCCAATCAATGGTAGCACCATCCTAAATAAAACTCATTTTGCCTTCTATCAAAAAGAATGGGTCGACTAAAAAATATACAAATCACGACCTTCCTAGCATCACATAAACGAGGTAAGGCAAGCATGAAATCAAAAAGCATATGAATTTGTACAAGTCTCACGCCATGATATCCAGTTTCAGTAGGAAAGCCGCTTGTTGGTTCTCCCTCTTGATGGCCCACCTGGAAAGAGCTTCATAATCCATCCTAAGACCCTTTCCACCACCTACAATTACAAAAGGAATCTAAATGTTATTTGATAGCTTGTTTTCATTCGAACACCTAGGTATCCCTCTTGTTATCAAAGTACTTTGTTCAATTTTCACCAATGGTTTGATTATTGACACAAATACAGCATGTATCAATTTTCCCATACGATGGATCCTAGTTCAAGAGTAACTTGGACATTACACCAGAGTAATCATGATCATGCAACAATGTGAGAGAAAGAGAGAGAGAGAGAGAGAGAGTACCTCGTCACCCTCATCAGCATATGAGGTGTTATCATGCATCAATTTAGACTCATATTGTCTGACTGGGATGTGCTCATTTGCCATGCTTTGAGCTGTCAAAAGCTCTAATCTTTGAGTTTGAACTTCAAGCTTCATGGACAATTCATTGTTCAACTCCTTCATTCATCAATAACAATAATTAGGACAAGGTACATCATAATTATAATAAAAAAACATTCAGAAGAACAAACATATAAGAGCACTTGGAAAATGTTCGGGTGCACATAAAAAATAATTATGCAATAGAAGAGAAACAGATAGAGTCAAAGAGAACTTGTGGAATATGATAAAGCTTCCAAATAGCAGGCTCCAACTAAAAGAAGAGAACCTTAAAAAATAAAGTTGTTTTAGAATTCCATTTCACTTGGAGCAGAAAATTTTTCTTTCAGAACTGTCCTATAATAAAAGCCTGATACTTCCTAGCAACAAGAACCAAATCAAACAAAATCTCTAAGAACAGGTTAATTACCTTCAATTTTGAATTTTGAGATAACTCAGATGACAAAGCTTGTGCTAGTTCTTCTTTCTCCAAAGTTAACTGCAAGTAGAAGAATAGTTCCTCAAATCAGCATAACAGGAATAGTGGCCACCAACTTCCAAAAACTTAATTTCTCAATTTGCCGAGTAAAACATATAGCAGCCACAAGAAAATCTGAAACATGTAGCAGAAGATACCTCAGAAATCAGAGAATTAATGTTATGAATCATTCTCATTTGATCAGGAGGAATAGAAACAGAAGGAGCTTCAAATTGTCCATCTTCAGGCAGCAAGCTCAAACTAGAGGCATTATTACTGCTATTCATTTCCCTATCATCAATAGCAGCATCCATGCTTACTGCAAAAGTTCAGAGCATAAAAAATGCATCAGTTAGATAAGGAGCGTGGAAAATAAAAGCTACTAAAAGTGTCCCTATTATAATTGCTTATTGGACTTCTCACATATGCTTTGAAGCACTGGCAGTTTGTAAAATGCAGTTCAAATAAAGATGTTGTTATGGTCTGGCACTGTGCCTTCAGTTTTCCTAAGTGTAAGACTATAAATGATGATACGCCGATTGCCGATATCCATGTGTACTTTGAGGCACTTAACTCATGCCTGACACTTACCGTACAAAAATGAATAGTTTAAGTAACTTATCTACCATTCTCTAGAATCTTCCACAAGATCAAATGCTTCAAATAAAATGTTCCTGATTTTATTTTTGTTTCGAATTTAATATAATAAATTAGAGTTACCAATAAAAGGGTTCTAGAAGAACAAAAGAAACAAAGAAAGTTTTTGCAATGTCATAGACTATAACGAATCAAAAAGTGATTCCTAGAGCAAATTACCTGGACTGGAAACTCAAATTTGGCATTTAAAAGAAATACCCAACATCAGCCGTTGTGCTTTTAACATACACCAGCTCTACATGACTTCAACCTTAAGGCATCAAGGCATACATGAAAACTAGAAATGCCTAGCTTGAAAAATTAAAATAATACTAGACCTAATTTCATTCGCCAAAATCATACTAGAAATCTAGAAAACCAAACCCTCAAGCAAAAAGTTAAACATTATTTTTTTTTTGATAGAAGTTGGAGGTCTCATTAAAAACTCCCTTCGTATTCTTCCACATACTTAGAAGTATGTTGAAGAACAAGGAAGGGAGAAAAGAGTGCCTCATATTTTATTAAATATAATACTAAGTACATGAGGTAACACCAAACCCACATGCGGGAATAAACACCAATACAACCCATATCACCTAGAAATCTTACATCGTCAACCAAAAAGCCCCTAAATCACCTCAAGATGTAAGATAACATAACAAAAAAACCAACAATTACAACCACAAACTTAAAAACGCCTCTGAATACAGCAGCCGAACAATCACAACCCAATTGGAGGATCAAGTTCTAAAGAAATATCGCAATCTTCAGGAACCCAAGAATTAGGTTTGAAGGAAGGATCAACTTCATGCACCAAGATTTTGAATAAATGATCCCCGACCTTCAACTCCAACAACTCATTAATTCTCACTTGAGCGTTTGTGAGTATTTGGATTTTAGCCCGATCAAAAGACGAAGGGAACTCACAACTGTTATCGATTGCTATTAACTTGCCCCACTTAGTAGCTATGTTTTTGAAAGTATCCCAATTCCAAGCGTGAAAAGGAATACCTTCGCAAACTAGCCAAACGCGCCGGCTCTCCACCACAAGGCTCTCAGACCAAGTTTCCACTCTGGAAAACCATTCTGCAAGAGTTTCTAACTTTTCATCCTTCACGCATCTCAACGAATTAGAATCTTCAAAAACCATTAGAACTACATTTCCAGCAGCTCTCATAAGCGTGAAACCCGCTAGTCCTTTGGCTTGTATTTGGTTAGCAAGATTACCAATCTTGATAAAGTTCTTGCACCACCCCACAAGACAGTTAGACAACACATGAAGTTTATCTGCGTCCACAACACCCTCAACTTCACAGTGTTTAATCGTCGGAAAAACTTTCAGCCCCGACTTACTATGAACAACTTTCGAGGACTTTCGCCAGTAAGACTGTCGGGGTTTATGTTTAGCTAAAGAGACTCTAATTTTGTTGCCGTAAATACGATAACCATTCATCTTAGAAATCGATGTCCTTGCTTCTTCAATTGTAGCAAAGCGAATAAACCCAAAACGAACCCCATTCGAGTTTCTTTTTTTGGGAATGAAGGCATCAATAACTTGACCATGTGAGCCAAATATGGATCCAAGTTTCTTCCAATGGATCTTCTCTGGAAGGTTTTCGATAAAAATCGTGTAACAATCCTTTCTGGACCCATTGCGAAAATCTGGTTGGCCTTCTTTCGACCGATTATAAAACCCATTTCTTCTTCTTCCCACCACTTCGGAAAATTTTGCATCGGAATACCCTTTCGAATAGAACTCCTTGGCACCACCATGATCAACATTAGCGACTGGAAGCGTTGGTGTTGCGTGAACAAAGACAACTTTCCGTTCCTATGTTTCCCTTCTTGTGAGCATTTCTTCAAAGGACTGGATGATAGTGGACTTTCACCCGACCTCGCCGAAACTGATCTCGAATTTTGTTGATTTTGGGTTGAAGGAGAGTGTCTGTAAGTGGTGCCGTCGGACTCAACTATCCAACCCGCCTCACGTGCCAAGGCTGCCAAAACATCGTTCTTAGCAGCATTCGGTGGAATAGAGAAGTTACCAAACTGTCTCAATCCGGCCAACAAGCGTCTGGTAAAAACTCTTCTTTGCGGTTTCCGTAACCTTGTCCTCTCCTTTTCATTCTCAATTTTACGATTGTCCTTACCGGAGTAAGATGAAGAGGCTGCACCAGCGGATCCAGATTTCTTGAGAAGACTGCCTCGTGGAACTGCATTTTCCTTCATTTTTAAATCATTAACCCGCTTATTCAACTCTGCCACTAATGCTTTAAGAGCCTTCACTTTCGCTTCTAATTCCTTGGCAGACTCCAGGGGGAAATCACCAGCTGCAACACGGCAGTCTGGTTCAAGCGGGAGATGAGAACTCCTAGACGAAGAAGGAGGAACAATAGGAGGCCTCACGGAGGAAGCAGCCACCGCACCAGCTGAGTCAAACCCTCGAAGTTGGCTGGGTTGAGACGTGGGTTGGGGTTCCATGGTGAATACTCAGCTGTACACCACTGCTCGACACAAGAGAAGACGGGATTAGGTCACGTTTAGGCACTGCGCTGGGTTGAGTGGCGGAGGCGAACTCGGACGGCTGGAGGCTTCGAAAATCTGCAGAGGGCGAGTGTAGATCTGCGACTAAAGACAGCGTTTTTCGCAAATGCAAGACCAGATCTGTATTCACCGTGAGCAGACAACCATCCTAGGAAAAAGCGGCGTCAAACGGTGGTCAGAGTGTGGCGGCGGACGGCTGACGGCGGCGGCAGACGGCGGGCGGCGGCAGCGGCCAGCAGGCAACAGACGAATGAGACAACACTTTTAAATTTAAAAACACCTGGGCCCTAGAGAGAAGCGGGAACTTCTCTCACTAGATATTATAATCCTTCCGCTCTGGAGCTTAATAGATCTTAAAAGTTAAACATTATAGACCCAGGAGAAAGGATTTTGTTTCTATATCAATAAGCTTCAATAAATATATTCAACTTGCGAGGGTAGGCACTATTAAGTAAATATTCACCTTTGCACAAGATTGACTCTGGTCAATAACATGTTTACAATTGGGAATAAGCTTAGGGGTCTCTTCCATACCTAACTGGATTTTGGTTCAGTAAAATAACATTTGGCTATTTACTTATGTATCAACATGGCTGCAAAGCGATAACACTACCTAGATCCTCTGTTGAAGTCGACATATCCTTCTTACTAGCAGGATTCTTAGTAACATCAATAGACTTTCCACTGGCAGAAGTTTTTCGTAGCTTAGATTGGAGTACCTTCTTCTCTGAGTTAAATGAATCAGAAAATTAAATAGCAAACATAGGGTTATATAAAAACAAATATAAAATCTTAGATATAAATAAATACTATAAAAACAAACACGTCTGATATTTATCATACTAACCTTCTTGAAGAGCTTCAATAGTTGATTGAAAATCCTGACGCTCTTTCTCTAGGCTTGACATTTTCTTTCTGCAAGATTCAGAAGGAATACGATGTGCAATAACTACTAGAGAACTTGCTGAAAATATATTGAAAGACTAATTCAAATTGAAGAAACAAAACCCAAAAATTTCCCAGGGTTAAAGTACTAAAACTCAAATGTTATTAATTCACAAAAACACAAAGGAAATTACTAACTACAAACCATCTCCTCCAAACCCAAATTCTTTCTTCTATTCCTTTCTGTTTCTTTATTTCTGATAAGTAACAGGCAGAAAAATGTTTTCATCCATGTTGCATTTGACAAAAAAAAATTACATGGCATAAAACAGATGTTTAACACCCAAAAACAAATCAGTTTGTATGTAAAGTACTTAATAGAACACAATCTAACCAAATCATGCTCTGAGTTAGTATAACATACAGCATCATGAGATCTTAACTTCTTAAGTGAACATAAAATTGACTTAATACATTCAATTGTACTCTATATGTAATGTTTACTTAACATGAAAATTTTAGCTTTTTTTTCTCTTTTTTTCTCGTATTTTATTTTTCTTTTTGTATAAAATATCATGAAGACTTAATAGTACAACTTTAATTGGATAATTATTTCATAGACAATCTAACCACTGGTCTAGTAACTGCAACAACGCCCCTCTTTGATTCTATACTAAAGAAATATGCATGAACATTATACTTTTGATTGTAGAAGGCAGATGGCATATACAATGGGAGAAACCAAGGAAAATAAATAAGAAAGATCCCAAACCCTTAACATAGAGAAACTGGAGCATACTTGAAAGAATAAATTTCAGCCTGTGAGTTCTCCAATTGCCTCTCCAACTTTAGCTCATTGGACCTTAATCTAAGTGCCTAAAAAAAGGATAGAAAAAAATTTTAATCTGACAGATACAAAAAGAGATACATTAAACAGAAGATGTCGAGAATATCTAAATTAAATATTAGGATTGTTAACTAGATATTTTATTATGTTAGTTATTAGATAGGATCAGTTTTAATCAGATAGAATCAGTTTATATTCTGTTAGTTATTAGATAGGATCAGTTTTATTCTGTTGCTAATTTTATGCATCTTTTTATGTAAAGTTGTTACATTGTAAACTCTATTTAAGTCAGCCATATTCGGCAGAAATAAATATGATTTATTCGGAACAAGTTTTTCCGACTTTATGGTATCAGGAGCCAAAATGGCCAAACCCTATGATGATACCTCTGGTATAGACTCTATGAGTTCTACTCGCTCACCCTCAATCACCCTAAACACTGAATCCTTCCAAAACATATCCATCACTTCTCACAAGTTGAATGGAAATAATTTCTTACAGTGGTCACAATCTGTAAAACTGTTTATTCGTGGCCGTGGAAAATTCGGCTATCTCTCAGCTATCACTATGAAACCTGCCGAAGAAGATGAAGAATCTGAAAGATGGGAGGCAGAAAACTCGATGATTATGTCTTGGCTCATAAATTTCATGGATCCGAGTGTAGGGAGAACTTATCTCTTCCTACCTACTGCTCATGACATTTGGAATGCTGTGAACGAGACCTATACTGATCTCGGGAACCCAGGACAATGGTTTGAGCTAAAAACTCGGTTATGGAGGCTAAAACAAGGAGAAAAAACTGCCACTCAATACTACACCGACCTCAAGACATTGTGGAAAGAGGTTGACATGTTCAGCGACTACGAATGGAGTTGTGCTAAGGACAGGGCTCTATTCCAGAAGATGGTGAAAAAAGAACGCGTCTTCAAATTCCTTGTCGGCCTTAACAAGGAATTGGATGAAGTCAGAGGGCGCATTCTGGGTCGTGAACCACTGCCAAGCACAAGAGAAGTCTTCTCTGAAGTCAGACGAGAGGAGAACCGGCGGACAGTCATGCTTGGAGGCCACTCACCAAATGCCACCTACTCTTCTGCCTTGTTCTCGGGTCAGCCACCACGTCGCAACGATCGTCAGAACGACAAAGATCGACCAATCTGCGAGCACTGCAACAAACCGGGACACACTAAAACCAAGTGTTGGAAGCTACACAGGAAGCCAGCCGAGAATTTTTCAGCCAATCGTAATTCTGCAAAGGGATTCCATGCCTCATCTGAAGATGCTTCTAAAGAGCTGAAACCTGCCTCAGAACCGTCTGCCTTCAGCAAAGAACAACTAGAGCAATTGTATCAACTAATGAGTTCTCATTCCATATCCAACACTCCTAACCCATCATCTTTTATTGCCTCTTCATCATTAGCCCAGAAAGGTACATATCCTACAGCTTTCATAGCCGGTTCTAAATCCAACCCTTGGATCATAGATTCAGGGGCAACAGATCACATGACCGGTAGTTCCTCCATAATCTCATCTTATTTTCTTTTATCTGGTAATCTGAAAGTAAAAATTGATGATGGTTCCCTAACCTCTACAGCTGGAAAAGGCTCTATCATTATTTCTCCATCTCTCACATTACTAAATGTCCTACATGTCCCAAAGCTCTCTTGCAATCTCATCTCTGTTAATCGTATTATTCATGACTGCAAATGCATTGTTACAATAACATTTGCTGGATTTGAATTTCAGGACCCTTGTTCGGGGAAGATGATTGGCAGTGCTAAGGAGGTTGATGGACTCTATCACTTGGTCACGGAAAATCCTTCAGATAAACAAGTTCAGAAACCAAGATGCTTTACTACCTTGTCTTGTGAGAATGAAATAATGTTGTGGCATTATATGTTAGGCCATCCTAGTTTTAATTACTTGAAATATTTGTTTCCAAAACATCATAGATCTGTTTATCCTTCTTTAAAGTATATGCCATCAAAACCTTTTTCTCTTGTGCATAGTGATATTTAGGGCCCTTCACGAGTAAAAACAGCCTCATGATCTAGATGGTTCATCACATTCATTGATGATCACACTAGAGTCACGTGGATTTATTTACTAAAAGAAAAATCTGAGGCAGCAAGTGTTTTCAAAAAATTTCACTCACTGGTCAATACTCAGTTTCAAGCAAATATTCAAGTTCTTAGAACCGATAATAGCCGAGAATATTTTAATGCAATCTTAGGTGATTTTTTGAAACAAAAAGAAATTATTCATCACAGTTCTTGCGTTGATACTCCCCAACAAAATGGAGTTGCTGAAAGAAAAAATAGACATTTATTAGAGGTGGCTAGGGCTTTACTGTTTGCTATGAATGTTCCTAATCGTTTTTAGAATGAAACACTCTTAACAGTGTCTTATTTGATAAATCAAATGCCTACAAAAGTTCTTAATTATATCACTCCTTTGCAAGCTCTAAAGAATATGTTTCCTGAAAATAGATCTTTCACTGATTTAACACCTAAAATTTTTGATTGCATTGCTTTTGTTCATATACACGGCCAAAATAGAGGAAAACTTGATCCCCGAGCACATAAATGCATATTTCTAGGTTTTTCACCAACACAAAAAGGGTATAAATGCTTTGATTCTAAATCTGGGAAGTATTATGTGAGTATGGATGTCACGTTTTTTGAAAAATAACCTTATTTTGACAAAAACTCTCTTCCGGGGGAGAATGATTTTGAAATGAGTTTTTGGGAACAAACATCCTTGCCAAAATTGGTCGTAAATAGCTCAGTGGAACCAATTCATATTTCTGTAACTAATCCTAGGATTTCACAACCTATAAATTCACAATCTCGTGATACTCAGGTAGAAACCAACTTGGAAACACCTACTGAACTTCGTGTTTATTCTAGAAGGATGACTCGACCAAGTAATGTTCCACCGGCCCCCAAGGTATGCCAACCATCGGACTCGATTATGGTCCAAGGTACGACTCTCTTTCTTCTCCAAATTTAGAGCCTTCTACAGAATTCTTTGAACCCATAGCCTTGCGCAAAGGTGTCAGATCATGTACCACAAAACATCCAACATCCAATTTCGTGTCTTATCATAAACTCTCTCCAGATGTCAAAGCTTTTTCCACTAGGATTATGGATGATGAACTACCTAAGTCGATACATGAAGCTCTAGAGGTTCCGAGATGGAGAGAGGCAGTTTTTGAGGAGTTAAAGGCCCTGAAGAAGAATGACACGTAGGATCTAACTCCTTTACCTGAGGGGAAACGATCTGTAGGCAGCAAGTGGGTGTTCACCATCAAATACCATACAGATGGCTCAGTCGAGAGATACAAAGCAAGACTCGTAGCACGAGGCTTCACTCAGACATATAACCTTGACTACGAGGAAACCTTCACTCCTGTGGCCAAACTAAAAACCGTACATGTCCTACTCTCACTAGACGCCAATCTGGATTGGACTCTCAGACAGTTTGATGTGAAGAATGAGTTCCTAAACGGTGAGCTAGTGGAAGAGGTGTTTATGGAAGTTCCTCCAGGCTTTGATGAATTGAAGAAGGATGGCATGGTCTGCAAGCTAAAGAAATCCATATATGGATTGAAACAATCTCCGAGAGCCTGGTTCGAGAGATTCACGAGAGCTGTGAAACAACATGGTTACACTCAGGCCCAGTCCGATCATACTATGTTCAAAAAACAAATAATGGTAAAATTGTTATTTTAATTGTGTATGTAGATGACATAGTTATGACAGGAGATGACACAGTAGAGTTGGAGTCGTTGAAGAACTTATCCAACCAGTTTGAAGTCAAGGATCTAGGACAACTCAAATATTTCCTTGGAATGGAGGTGGCTAGATCCTCAAAAGGTATAATTATCTCGCAAAGGAAATATGTCCTCGATATCTTGAAAGAGACCGGATTACTCGGATGTAAACCAGTGGCGACTCCTATTGATCCGAATCAAAAACTCGAAAAAGAAGATGGTGCTGAGCCTGTGGACAAGAATCAGTATCAGAAGATGGTGGGGAAACTGATTTATTTGGCTCATACGAGACCAGATATTGCATTTGCTGTGAGCTTGGTTAGTCAGTTTATGCATTGTCCCTCAGAAAAACACTCCAAGGATGTTTATTGGATTCTTCAATACTTGAAAGGGAGTCCGGGTAAAGGAATCATGTTTTCGAAGAATGGAAGTCGAAGAGTGGAGATCTTCACTGATGCGGATTGGGGCGGAAGTTCTACAGACAGAAGATCTACCACCGGTTATTGCTCCTTTGTCTGGGGCAACTTAGTTACTTGGAGGAGCAAGAAGCAACCAGTTGTCTCTAGAAGCAGTGCGGAGGCCGAGTTCAGAGCCATGGCGCAAGGAGTATGTGAGCTGTTATGGCTTAGGAGAATCTTGGAGGAGCTGAAGGTTGAAGGAGATAAACCGATGAAGTTGTATTGCGACAACAAATCGGCAATCAGTATTGCTCAGAATCCTGTACAGCATGACATGGCCAAACATGTCGAAATAGATCGACATTTCATCAAGGAGAGGCTGGAAAATGGCGATATCTGCATACCGTTTGTTCCATCATCAGAGCAACTCGTCGATGTTCTCACCAAAGGACTGTTTACTACGGTGCTCGAAGGATTTCTGTCCAAGCTAGGAATGATCGATATCTATTCTCCAACTTGAGGGGGGTGTCGAGAATATCTAAATTAAATATTAGGATTGTTAACTAGATATTTTATTATGTTAGTTATTAGATAGGATCAGTTTTAATTAGATAGAATCAGTTTTTATTCTGTTAGTTATTAGATAGGATCAGTTTTAATTAGATAGAATCATTTTTATTTTGTTGCTAATTTTATGCATCTTTTTATGTAAAGTTGTTACATTGTAAACTCTATTTAAGTCAGCCATATTCGGCAGAAATAAATATGATTTATTCGGAACAAGTTTTTCCGACTTTAGAAGATAATGCAAATTCTAATAGTATCATCACCTAAAACAAGCAAATTAACAAGATCAAATACAACAAAAAAAAATAAAGACATGCTCAAGTTAAACTAGCACTTTGAAACCTTTGACTTCATTACATGCCGAAAATGCAATGCATATTGCAGATATGGCAATTTGCCTATCTAGCAGCATTATTATCTAGAGGGGAAGAAAATTTATAATGAATAGAACGATATTAGAAAAGGAAGAAAACCTTTGCCCACCAAAATAATTTCTTACCTTCTCTTCCAATCCAATGACTTCAGAAGCCAATATATTGGCACGTTCATCGGCTGCATTACATTCCAGTTGTGCATTTGCATATTCCATTTTGAAAGTCTGAAGCTCTGCCTGCAAATATCAAACATCAGACCTAATTAGAAAAGAGCAAAAGGACACTGTAATAAAATGTCAAAAACATTTTAAAATATGATTTCTTACATCTTAAATCACTCCCCCGCCCATTCAGACATCTTAAAACAAAGACAAGAAAAATTCAAATCGGCCCACATACAGCATAACAGTTTACAGTGCACATATCTGAGCTGATCCTATGCAAGATTTTTTGGCAACCAAAGAAAACCGTAGCAAATAAAGGACTCACTGAACTATACACTGCATGGGCAGATTGGTAACACCAAACTGCACATTGTACCATCTGCTTATTTACCCTGTTAAGATAAAACATATAATGGTATAATGCTTTATATCATCATATACTCAACCATCATCTAAACAATGAGGTAGAATCCAAACAATTGATAACCTCTATATTAGTGAATCATTTTTATATGTCAAAAATACAACAGCTATTTTTCAAAATCATAAAAAAACAACAACAAAAACTTCCCCTTCTAGTGAAGGATAATGCCAATCAAATTGTTATAAATACCTATAAATCTCAAATTCCTTAAGCCAAAAACCAAAATTCTCAGAAAAAAATTCCCCTGCCTAAGCTGAACCCTGATTTTTTTATCATGTATTGAAGGAGTGAACATATAATGGTGAATGAATCTCTTAAAGTTCAGTGCTCCTTGTACTGCAGTTTGTGGTTAATAGATATAAATAATATTGGTTTGGATATTTTCGGATAAAATTATATCAAAGCAGAAACAAGGGCAAAATCCATGTGCACAAATGAAACACGTCATGCAGATACCCCCTGCATCAGCTATCTGATACAAAAGAACATGCAGTCGGGCAAGATACAATTATTCCCATTTACGACTAGAGTCGCTACCAGTACCCTAAATAAAACAAAATACTAACCAATTGGGCCTTGATTTCTTCCTGTAACTTCTCCATGTCATGTTTGACCTGATTGACAACGCTTCTCTGGAGAGAGAAAATGTCAATACACAATAAAGAGATTTTAAAAGGATCAGAATAGTAATTGGAAGAAGAAAACAAGATTAAGTGGATTTCAGGATTTCATTAAAAAAAATACAATGAAAACCAATGAAGATTGGAAAACAAGCAAAAGGCTTGTGAACATAGATTCATTGTCAATATTATTCAAGATATTTAATCTCTTTATAAACATGCAGAAACGTTTTAAAAATTACAATTGCTTTTCCTCTCTCCAACAATGCTCAATTTTGGCAACCTATCATCCACAAAAAGTTTAAACCAAAAAAGCAAGGAAAAGCAGATTAAGTTATCAGTACATAACCCATTCATTTGGGGAAAGGGATCTTAAAATAAACTTCTAGGACAAATAATATATTTGATTTCATGTTGGTCATATAATATAATCATAGTCACAATGATATGTTTTAATCAATATCCTTTACAAAAGGTAAAAGGGGATTGGCCAAACCAACTCATTGTTTTTATATTCTAGTAATTGACGGAACAACAAATAGAGTAGGCAGTACAAGTACTTTTGCAGGACAAAGTATATAATATGCAGGGGAAGTGGCATCTCTTTATCTATTATTGTTTTATTTTATGTAATGTTTTTTTTAGTAATTTATTATATATTTCTTTGATTATATAAAATTTATATTTATACATACGTTAAAACACTGAAAATAGAATATTTATGTTTATAAATACGTAAACGGTAACAGTTAAGTAGATTCAGATAACCTAAACATATGGCATTTGACCACTGTCATTGACCATGACATTCTAGTGATTCTGCAATTATTATTTTTGGAAACAAACCTGCTGATTATAACTATCTGTCAATGATGAATTTTCAGCCGCTAAAGATTCAGCAAATGTACGTGACGCCTCAAGAGATCGTTGCAGAGAAAATTTTTCCTGGGTCAAATCTTCAATATGCTACAAAATAAGAGTAAATAGTTAATAAATTTCAAACAAGATATCTGGGAAGAAGTCGGTAAACAAAACCAATGTGGTGAACCACAAAGAAAAACTATAATATAGTTTTCTACATTATAATGTATGTGTGCTTGTGTGTGTATATGAAACTTCAAAACATGGGAGGAAGTTTTCTCTCGATGGCTAGAAATCTTTTAACAGTCATTACAGTTTGTTCACCTCCAAGATATTAAAATGTATTAGGCTTCAAAACTGAAACATTGAATTATAACTAAACTCCACAAGAATTTATTCTTCCTTGCCTCTTGATAAACAAACTTACCAATCCCCAACCTAACAACATCTGACTCCAGCATGTGCACCTCACAGAAACACAAGGCATTGACCAATAAGTATGCAGTTATACTTGTCCATTATGTTGTCATAAGGGAATGATAAATTGAAAAAGGAACCAGCCTTATCCTAAACTAAGATCTAAGCTTCCTACCAAGATTTGTCCCCTCTGAGAGCAGCATTGTACAATAAAGCTTATTATCCTAGTAAACTAGAGTCATTTTTCCTTTTATATTCAATAGATCACAAACCTTTCTTCTCCAGAATAATTCATGTCTAAAAATTAACATCTACATAAATCCCTGGATGGTATGAGAAACAATTGTTTCAATCATTGAAAAGGTTTCAGTAAAAGACATAAGCTAGTATAAGTTTCATATACATAATGGAATGTCAAATTGAGTCGGAAGAGATAAAAGCTAGTAAGCCTATGATGACATATTTCTAAGACATCAAAAAGTTCACTTCAAGAAATGTTTATTCATGTTCTTAGGGAACCTAGTCTTGCAGGCAATATAGTTAACAAGCTGGAAGAATAAATGAGAATCATTAAAAAGCTGTTAATTGTGGCAACTATAGTAAGCTTAAAAGTAAAAGAAAATAATGTCTACCTGCTCCAAAGCAGAGAAATCCTCGTTCTGTTTGGTTGAGTAGAACTCATGCTTCTTCTCTGAGATATTCTCATTCAGCCTTAGCAGGTCGCCATCATTATTAGCAGGAATTGAAAAGTGACCAGGATACTCAGTGGCACTAGGAAAATCATTGGACCTTTCTACGGAGAAAGTTCTCATAGTTTCACTCTCCGTTGATGGTCTATCAAAAGGCGATGATCCTACTGCACTGATGCTGTTAAATTGGAAACTATGGGAGGAAAATGCATCCTTTGTAAGTTGATTGTGTTGAGAAAGAAAACCAGAAGAACCTTTGGATACATTAAGTGAATCAAGGAAAGATGGACGGTATTTTGTATAACTAGTATCATTTATGACTAACTGTTGTGGTATGTGACTTTTGGAGCTTCTGGTATCAAAACTGAACTCTAAAGATCCAGATGTCCATGCCGATGGACCAAGCTCGCTTGGAAAACCACTGGATGAACTGCTAAATTTTCTCTCTCCAAGTTCAGAAATCATAGGTTCCCTATATTCTGCATTGCCCTGTAAGTTCTGCCCAACTTCAAGGGCATATCCTCTCGTGATCAAGGTAGATTGAGTAGAGTCTATAATTAAACCACAAAACACACAATACTGCATCAGATACTTAGCAAAAGAAAACCATGAAGACATAGATAAATAAAAATTCTGGTCATTTTAGTTCATAAACAAGCATAAGCACAATGAGAATTCATAAATTCAAAATTACATTCATAGAAAGAAGATAGTACAAAGCTATTACCTAGCAAGCTGACTTCACTGGCCTTACTTTGCAGTGAATTCTGCGGATATATTTTAGTAACAAAATCTTCAGATGAAATTGGAGTTACAACTGCAGCAATCTTCAAAGAAATATCATCATCTTTTGACTTGGTACCTTGAAAGCCATTACTCAAAGGTTGTGTCTGCAGCCTATCTTTAAACAGAAGTCCACCATTCCATGAAGCGCCGTAATTCTCATTTTCTTGACCTTTTGAATATGCATGCACTTCAGACGACGAATTATTATCATTAGCTAAAACAGATGGGATATCATGTGTGTTATTCAAGTAAGCTTGCTGACTTTCATCTGAAACTTTAGTTGTTTTACTGCTTTCATTAATTATCTTTGGATAAGGACCGGCTCCATTAGATGTAGCAGCACCATTTAAGTCAATGACTCGAATATTTTCAGTTTCTAATTTATTCTTATCATTTAAGATAACATCTGAAGAATGAGTATGGGTGATCGATGCTGCCTTCTTGACTCTCTCAGCTGCCTTTTCTTTCGAAATTCCTCAAGCTGTAAAAGGAGGTAAGAAATGTAACTGCCCATCATAAGCACTGTCAAAAAAAATATCTACATGTTTTTGAATTTCCATTCATGAAAATTATGCAACTGAAACTTTTATTGGAGGACATAAATCCAGAGTTATAATTATACGAAACCCAATCAACCAATAGTATTATTTAGGAGAATATTAACTCATCAAATAAGAGAAAAGAATACAACTCTAGAAGGGGATATCTTATTTGCTTTTAGGTTTTATCACTGAACCAATCAAAAGAAGAGTTCTAAACAACCAACAGTAGTACAACCAAACACAAATTAATAATGGCATTAAAACACATCATTTGGGAACAAATGCATAACATCAACTTCAAACTGCCTCTCTATCAGTTACACAACTGAGATACACTCCTGTTTTGAAATCGTAGTTCTTAAGTTTCAAACAAGTATTCTTGCTTTAGTATAGTGCCCGAAATCCCAAATGCAGCTTCTGCTTTTTTCTATCTTGTACAAAAATCCTAGCGTTGCTCTCCATCCAATGTAATGACATAATTCTCAACGCTAATTTTAATGATATAACTTGAAGCATTAACTCTCTCTTCTTTTTCAAACTTCCAAAGGTATAAAAGCAGTTAAACTTTCCAAGGGTGTAATCTACCAAGATAGCTAATGTCATACAACCTCAATTCCGGTAGAAAGGTCCTAAAACAACAGTGACTATATACGCCTAAACTCAAAAAGCAAGCTTATTTATATATGGATTGAGTATAATAGAAATTAGCTAGAACAATCTGCATTGCACAAGTAAGAACCATTTTAAAAAATTACAAAACTGAATCCTAAAATAGTAAAAGTTAAATGATCAAATCGAAATCACAGAAACCATTAATTTTAAAAAAAGGAAAAATAAGAAATAAAACGTACCCGACGCTTCCCGGCTTCTAAGTGCTCTTGTTTCCGCGAACTAGGCAAGACCTGAGCCGACGCCATATAAAAAAAACCGAAATTTTTTGTCAATCTAATTCTAACCCCGATTTCTCACTCATTAAGTCACAAAATAAATGCCAATCGGCGGACAAAGAGAGCTGAAATTATCGAAATCTCTAGTTCACCACAAAGAATCCTCAAGCAACATCCTCTAACACCCAAGAATAGAGATTTCAAGCAGATCGATAAACACGAGATGCGATAATTAGGCGAGAGAGAGAGAGAGAATTTGTAAGGTTAAGCTTGAATAAGAAGATTCTGATAATAAAAACCAAAAAAAAACCCAAAAACTTGTAACGAAGTATCGGATCTGAGAAAGGAGAGGTGGAAGCGTGAATGTATCTCTCCAATTTTGAGATTCTTTTTTTTTTCTTTTGAAAATTATATATATGGTAATCGATAACTAATTAAAATTTTACCTTTTTTACTTAAATATAGCTAAAAATAAACATTAAAATAACAGTTATCCTTTATGTTAAACTACACTAATGTTCGAGTATATTTTAGTTTTCATCCCTAAATTTTAAAAATAATAAATTAATTATTAACGTTATTAAATTATAACAAATAGACCATTCATCATTATTACGATAATACGTTAATTTATTTTTTGGCCTCAATTGACCGTGCTCATTACTCAAAATTCACATTTTTTTCTTTTCATCTTTAATCTCTTTATATATCTCTTACTTGTCTCTCTAGAATTATTGTATGAATGATTGCACTCACTTTTTTCATCTATAGACTCATTGAAGATATGTTTCCCCCTCACGTTACTGATATTTGAGTCAGGATTAAAGGATTCACTCTCTATGTATCTCCCTTCTTTCAAGCCAAATAGAACCATGAAAGGTGTTGGCTAGGGGTGTAAACGAGTCGAGTCGAGCTCGAGTATCGCTGAGCTCGACTCGACTCGAAAACTCTGAAATACAGTTCGACTCGACTCGAAAACTCGCGAGCTTAAAATTTTTAAGCTCGACTCGAACTCAAAATCCTGAATTGAAGCTCGTGAGCAGCTCGAAAAGGCTCGAAATGAAGAAGAAAAAAAATCTTAAACTTAACTAGATTGAAGCCTCAAAATCAAACTCGAACCTGAACCTTAAATATATGAAAGTCTTATTGTATTTTTTAAAAAAATCAACACATAAATGTTAATATTATTAATAATTTATTTTTTTTAAAAAAAATAAAATCTTAATATATTATATTTTCAAGCTGCTCACGAGCTTTTCGAGTCGAGTATCAAGTAGCTCGTTTCGGCTCGTTAAGAATTCGAGTCGAGTTCGAGCTCGAGTCGAGTCCATTCGATCCGAGTATTTATCGAGCCTTGACAGAGTCGATCTCGAGTAGCTCGCGATCTGTCTCATCTCATTTACAGCCCTAGTGTTGGCTTAAGATTTTTTTAAAAAAAAACATGTTTTAAATTTGGTTAAGAATAAAAAACAGAATTACATTAATAACATTGTAATTTAGGTTGGAGTTACCTTGAATTAAGTATCAACTCCATGTAGTTGAAGAAAACATCAATCATTGCTTCTTCGATTCGTACAATAATTCAATTTCAACCTTCAAATATTACCATTCCAAAACTCCTTCAAAAGCATAGAATCTAAAGGTATATTTAATTTCAATACCTTTTACAAGATAAATGTAAATTACTTTTTTTTTAACGAAAAACAAAAACCAGCTTTCTTTTCCTCTTACCGTCTTTGTTTCTTGTGTGGTCATTAGTTAGAAAGAAGTATATTCGTTTTTTTATTGTTTCTCAAATTATAATCATATTTAAATTTTTAACTATTTTTATATTCACGACGTTTTGATTTTATCCTCTTTTAGCTTGCTTCTCTCGTCAAGCTATGGGGTTGTCCCCAAAAAATAAAGGTGGTTGCCTCCCCAACGTGGATTTGCAACTCTTTTTTGCATGATAAATATTAGAATTATGATCCAATTTTTTTTCAGAACGATCCATATGTAAGGCTTGCGGTTCGGAGCAGTATAATCTGTTTACAACTATAATTCTTCTGTCACCTTTAAGTTGATCAAGAAAGGAAATTCAATTAGAGTAGGATTCAGTTTCTTTTGTTTCCTATCCCTATAAATAGAAACTAGGGGAATAGGATTTTGTGTGTTATGTTGTAACAAATCTTGTATTTTTTTATAGTGAAAATTTTCTCTTTTACCTGTTGTTTTTAATTTTTGGATTTCCACGTAAATATTGGTGTTTTTTTATTTTTTTTCAATCGTATTTATTTGTCGCTAATCGTTCCCATAATTACAACAATAAAAAATCAAACCGATTCTCGTACAAAAGCTAGCGAATAGGAGCAATATTTCCCTCAGCTGTGAATTCTTACACCATATATGATTTGCAGATAAGTATCAAGAATAGAAGGAAAAGGTGATGGAGAGAAGTAATGAAAACAATAGTGCAAAAGGAAACAAGGGAAAAGACAAAAATGAAATGGGAATAGCTGTGGTTACTGTTGCATTGGGTTCTTAGCCATTTTCGAGATATATATATAAGCTTTGGGCATTCATGGCTCAAATTCTTGATGCAGATCTTGTGGAAACGGAACGGTGGAGGTACACTTGTCTAAATCAAAAAATTATTCAAGTTCTCTAATTTCATCCGGACAATGAGTTTAGAAAACAAAAGCCAAAGGTGTTAACTAAGGAACCTGAATTGCCACAAAAGGTTTAAAAAAAGTTGCATTGTATTCTTGTATGTTACATTTCTTTTTGTTCAAATTGTATGACAGAGAAATATCAAGAATATGGCATGATAATTCACTATTTCGATTGTAGTTTCTATGTTTATGTCTCATATCTCAATTCACCAGACTTATCCATTGCCCAAAAGGAAATGAAGTTCTCATCAATAGGTATTAATACAAATTATTACTTAAATAGATAAAAAAGGAAATAGACTCCCTGGAGCGAACTAAGGATGAAGAAGTCGAGAAATTAAAGATCCACAACATCGATTTCGACTTCCAAATTATTTTACGAATCAAAGAAGCAAAGGTTGATGTTTCCTCCAACTGCATGGAGTTGATACTCAAGATAACTCGAACTCAGACTACATTGTTATTATATAACTCTGTTCTCGATTTTCCAACCAAATTTAAAGCATGTTTTAACTAATTCACGAGAGAAGAGAAGCAAAATTTGCGGGAAATGAAGTGTTAAAGCCAACACCTTTCATGGTTCTATTTAGATTGGAAGAAGGGAGAGTGCATCCTTACTCAAACATCAGTAACGTGAAGGGGGAAACATATCTTCAATGAGTTTAGAGACGAAAGAAGCGACTGCAAACATTCATATAATGTTTTATCTTCTTTCCGAAGGTAAAATCATTTTTCTCTCTCTTATTTTGATTAAAATTTTCATTCAAGTCATACCTATCTATTAAATTTACAATTCTCTGAGTTTGTTTTTGTCGATGACCATCATATTGTAGTATGGTTTGTTTGATGCACTTACTGTTTCATGATCTTTAATAGTAATTTTAGCCTCTTTCTTCTCTTTCCTTTTCATTTTTTAAAAGCAAAACTATCATGATTTTGTTTGTGGACGTGTACTAGAATTCATGAAACAGTTTAATGATGTATTACTTGGTGTTTGGTTGAAATCTGAATACTTATTTTTTTTAATCCATTAATGGTAACTATTTAGTGGGTGTTTGACGGTGACCAATAGCAAAATTGACGGTGATGAGTGATAACTGATCATGAGAATTTAGATAAATTTAGAGTCAATTTTATTCTTTAACTAAAGTTTAAAGGTCAAATCAACATTTTATGTAAAAATTAAGGGCAAAATTGATATTTTATCTGAAATTTAAAGATTAAGTTAAAATTTAACCATTTAATAACAAGTCATATATGCAAAGTAAGAGAGTTAACGCTCCAATGATCAGAATTAAACAAACTGAAAACAAAAAAAATAACCAAAATGTAACTTTTCAAAATCAGTGATTAAGATAAGACAGGCCAAAAACAAAAGGGATAGCCAGTGTAATTTATCCTCGAGTTATAAATTTCGTCCCCAGGATTGCACGCACATTGCATGATTGCACATGCTTTCTATCGTTTCCTCTCCTCAGTTCTTCGAATCTCCACAATAAACCAAAAGAAAAAGAAAAGAAAAACCCAATCCGACAAAATAAAAACACCCCCATTGAACAAAGCTTTTCACTGTTTTGTATGGAGACTGAAGAAAAGCTTCGGAGTGATGTAGGTGAGGAGGGAGGGGAAAGTAGGTTGAAGAAGAAAAGGAAGACAGAGAAAGTAAATGACTCAGAGGATCGGAAAGAAGAACTGCCAAATGAAGAAGAAAAAGAAGAGGTCGTAGAAAGGGATCCACTGGAGATTTTCGGTCGGGACATAATGGTGATGATATTAAGAAATCTTGACGCACGCAGCATGGCACTATCTCTCCTTGTTACACGTGCTTGGCATTGTGTTGCTTCCAGTGATAGCCTGTGGAGCTAAAAGGTTTGCTTCCAATTTTCCCCTCGAATTTTGATTGGGTTTTTGTTTTTGTGTGTTGGGTATTTAGTTATGTTGTAGAATTTGCCATGTTTATTGAATTTTAGGATTTGGGTTTTATTATAGTATCCGCTAATTAGAATATTTGTTGTTTTCTTTGAGATGGTTGGACTAAAACATGCTTGTTTCTTGGTTGTACGTTTACTCCTTTTTTTTTTACATTGTTTCTTTCTTTAGCTACAATTTGAGTATTTAGCTTTGAGAACTCTTTATAATCTTGGTATGATCATTCTTTTCGGTCATGCTTATTTGGTTATTCCACATCTTAAGGCAATCGACCTTCACCGTTTCTCTTATTCATTTCAAAGGTACTATCATTCACTGCTCTGTGCACACCTTTAGTTACAGTTTTCGTGTTATTTATTCCATTTTTTTAGTTATAAGGGGAAAAAGGGTAAAGAACAGAAAGCTTTTTTGATCTCATTTGTTGAACTCAAACTTTTGGTTCGAGTTCAGATTTCTGGTGCTTTTTGAATCATACAATGTAGTTAAAGGAACTAAAACATTCAAGGGGTTTCGCCAAAACTTACTAGCAGATAGAGAAGTACTCATCAGTTAAGACACTGAACATTTAAAAGTTTATTAGTGTTATAAAGAGAATGAAATGCAGGGTTTTGTGCAAGTTATACACAATGGGTGAGAACATTGTCAATATTTTGTTGGATGTGATTGATTGATCCCAGGAGCACAGAGCAATGGAGAAAATTTGTGATTTTTTTCCAAATGCACAACAAATGATGATGTCTGTGTAATAAAATTTCAATATTAGGCATGCCATAATATTCTTGCAAAGTACCTGGAATTTTGAAGTTACTAACATGGTTTACTTCTATAGCAAATTGAGTTGATATGGATCTTAAAAACTGATGTCTAGCAGCATGGAATGGGGTCTGACAGATTGAATTTCTTTGAATCTGGATAACATTTCTGGTACATTCACATTGTAGAAATGACTTGTTACTTTGAATCTGCTTTTGAGCATTGCTCACATCTGGTTGGAGAATGATAGAATAGATGGAGAAGGTCTACTAATGCTTGAGGTACTGTAAATAGAGTCAAATTAAATATGCTAATAAAACTTTTAGGACCTTCAAGCACATTAATCATTTGTGCATGAGAAGATTAACCTAAAGAAACCAAAAATCAGAAATCCTCTTTTTTGAGTGTTGTATAGCCTTGTTAATGATTAATAAGGTTATTTCTCAAGCAACACAAAAGGAGAGTGCATCTTTAAAAAATTGGGAGTATATTGACTAATGCTTAAGAGAAGCCTAAAGTAGTAGGCTACCTGCATTGCATAGCTATAGCGGAAGGTACAAGCTACTTCAAATGGATTATGATGCCTTGAGAATGAGATGGCTGAGAGATTAGAACTTAAGGATGATATATAGGTCCTCATGCCTTTGGATTTACCCTTACAATCTTTAACAGCGTGCTAGCTGTTTTTTTTTTCATTTGTTAGTTGATAACAGTTATGTGCTAAGACTTTCACTGACTTGAAATGCCATCCTTACATCAATTTAGCTTCTTGGCTCACTACTTGTCCAAAGCAGTGTATCATATGAAAGATTTCTCATTGAGCTTTATTGTTTTAGTATGATTTGTATCCTATTCTTTCAATTTTTTAAATTTACTTTTGCTGGTTAGGCATGATTGTTGCAGTGGTGAAGCACCCTGACATCTTTTTTTAATCTATTGGGGAATGTGGCAATTTTGATTGAAGGAAATCTTTCAGAACTAATTTACAACTTTCTTTGCTTTCTTAGTGTGAAGAATTGTGGCATGGGAAGGCACACATTCCTTGTGCATCCCAAGTCTGAGGACTATCGAAGCTGGCTGCTTATTCGATATCTATCATGGATGGAAAACGTGTTACTAAAACTCATATTCTCAAGTAGAATTGAACATCACAGATGCTTTCATACATTTTTTTTTAATAGTGCTTTCACACATAAAGATAAGCATGCATAGACATTTGCTTAATTACTGAACCATTGTGCTTCAGGTTATATGGTCACTGATTTTATTTTATTATTCATTTTCAGTCCCCAGTCAATCTGATTTTATTTTTATTATCCTTTTATCAAGCTCGTATCATGAAGGATGATCTATGTGATCATGTCTGGAAATTTCATTTTAACAAGGTATGTGTTACTTGTAATTTCAACAAGTCAGAACACGCTCCAGAAATGCATTGCTGGTGGATAGTTTGAATACCTGAAGTTATGAAAAGAATTTACTTTCACTTGGTCTGTCATTATGATGCTACTGCTTTCAATTCTCGTAATATTTTGTTGCCAAGGGCTAATTGAAAGACCTTTACCGATTTCATGCCATCACCAAAGGACCATCTCTCAGTTGACAAAATTCCTGCTAAGTTTGTGGATCTCATTACCTATATTATTTCCATATTATAATCTGCATGAGAACCAAAGAATCCTTTCTCATCGCATGATCAACTCTTGCCAAAATTCATTTTGCTGTCAGGCGGCTCCAGAGTATTGGCGAAATCTTGATCCATATTGGAAGGGGACTGGTCCTCTGATGCGCCGCTACTTCCACCCATATGGAAGCCAAACAGCAGGTGCTGATGACAAGGTGTGGGGTGGACATGGATGCTGTTATTCTATTGTAACTAGCATCATAGGTGACGGAATGATCAGGGAGCATTATGTTAGGATAAACAGATGGCCCCGACTCTTCTTTTCGAGAAATCAGGACTGGAGCTGGGAAATGTCTAACTGCCTTTACTGTTACACCAGCATTCCTGACGCGGATAAGCAAGGCGGAACAGGGCCCTTATTCTTACCTTCTGTACATATCACCCCTGAAGCATTTGGTAAGTAATTTTGAATGCACCATATCCATATTTCTTTATTTTGCAAGAGTGCTCTTTGTTTCAAGGTATTTGCTTCTTTCCTTGAATGGGTAAACGTTACCATCCTGTAAAAAATAAATCATTAGAGTTCTATAAAAGCTACTTGAAAGGATCTTAAGTTTGGTTTTGTTAGATTCCAATCTTTGAATGATTTTCAAGCTAAATGGTACATGGCTTTCTGAGAGCTTTGGTGGAACATGATCATACTGGAGGAGAGTTCCATGGCTTATATTGGACAAAACTGATATGCTTATTCATCTATGGATTACTCTTAGCACACATTTCTAATAGAAACGTGTGATTTGTCAATTTAAGTGTAATATTATTTTAGATGTATTCAAATAAGGACCTTGATCACACTTGACTCTGATTTGTAGTTCAAAAAGAGATGAATATTGGTGTGTTTTAATTAAAACACGTGATAGATAATTTAGATATAACTTTAAAAGACAAATACAAACATAATTTGAAATTTGATATAAGAAATTTGAAAACTTGTTATTTGACTACATTCGAAACAATGGTTGATCCTGCATTTGATAATTTTTAAACGTTAGTACTTTATTTGTACACCTTTAAAGAAGTTTACCCTGATCAATTTAAAAGATTTAACATTGAAGTGAATAAATTCTAGTAAAATTTACCCCCGATTTTAGAATTTAACAAGCAAAGACCAAGCGAACCATTAATCCGCATATTCTAATATTAACCTAACACATGTATTTGTTGTATGATAAAAATCGCAAACATTATCTACATTTCAGATGAATTTTTTTTATCAAATTCCAAAATTTAAAAAAATCTAAAAGGATATTTATAACCAAAATTTTACAACTAATACAGCATGTTAAAACAATCATTTTGCCCAAATTATTTGAATTGTAAAATTGTAAAATTGCTGTCTTGCCAGCAATGGCAATAGCAAGTGTTAGCCTTCCATGAAATTATTTTACCAGCATTTTCAGGATAAAATGTAGATGGCAAAGGAATAAATGACAATATCCAGAGGTATCAGTAATACTCTCCATTCAGAAACAGGTTTCTGAATTTCCATTTTTTATTTATCTCGCTTAATGAGAACAAGAACAAGCATCCATCAATCAACTGAAAACAAGCCCAACTGTGGACAACGAGTTGATAAAAAGGGTATCACCAAACTTCAGGGCGGAGCTCACCAGTTGCAGGAGGCATCCATCTTCCTGAATTGTATACATTTTCGCCTACTTTCCAACCTGGAACATCCTTCATCACTTCAGCTTCGTACTCTAGATACTTCTTCCACTCTTTGACAAATCTAAAGAATGCAAACAAACAAACATGGAACCTTCAATGCCTTTTAGCTATGTAAAAGTCTTGGAGCAATCTGGATAGTTAAATACCTTTCATCTTCTTCAGCTTGAAGCACAGGTAATATTGCTCTACGTGCAGCATACTTTTCTTCCTTCAGAGCCCTACAAAATGTAAATATTTCAGGCCTCCGTTCTAGTATGAAAAAGATCAATTTGGATATAGCATCGAAATTCAATTTCGTTTCCATTGTAAAAACTAAATCATGGCTAAGAAAATGGAAATAGAACAGCAGCACTGTAAAGGATATACAAAATTAAAAAGAAAACAATAAACACAACTGTCAATCTGTTTATTTAGATTTGAAACATGCATTTCACAACTGTCAAATTCTTTAGGGGAGCATCAGAGAAGTCTGCCCTCCTATCAGCCAAAAGTTGGATCGAACATATAGAATTTGCCTCCTCCTGGAAAATGGCTCACAACTGAATATAGCCAATAGTGTTTGCTTGGTAGGTGCAAAAGATGAAATGCAGCCAGCATAGGTTCACAGAAAACTTAATGCAGCCTGAAGTATCAACTTTTCCAACCTTTGGACATAAAAAGGAAAGGTTGGGTAGTTTGAATAACCATTTGTACAGTCAAACTCTTTACCATGAGACCAACAATTAGAAGATCAATAATTTAGCAACCCATAAATGATCATGTTCAAATATAATCTCATCTACATTCAAAGCACATGCTAGTTTCGACGAATCTCTAAATCCTTGTTAGTATCTCCAATCTGAATGCAACAAAATGCATGGTTATATCATACAAAATGACACCTACATGACTTGCTAACTAGTTTGTTGCCCCATGAAATGGCTAACAAATTAATAAATTAAGTGCATAGACTCTTCCAATTTTCATGCATTGTCCATACATCACAGGATCAACTAACAGTACCATCAGAAATTTGCTGTATCCGAAAGTTGTGTTTCCTTTTCTCCCTCCTACCAGATTCTTCATTGGTTACACGCAGAAGGCCATTTGAAAGAGCTGGCAATCTTGAACTGATTGTTTTGCATTGTGAAACAGTAATAAATTACTAAAATAAGTAAATAGGCAGGCTCTTGAAATTACTAAACTAGAAGATAGACAGGCTCGTGAAATTATAATCTATGGTCCACATGTCAAGCACAAATAATAGCATTGTGAAGAAATGTTGTATCTGATTTTGCCTTGTCTTTCCCCCTTCTGTCAGCTTCTTCATCGTTACATGATAAAATTCATTTGAAAGAACCGTAAGCCCTGAACTGATTTTTAGCCTTATGAAATGCTAATGAATTACTACAATAGATAAATAGGCTGGTTCTTGAGTTACTAAACAAGAACATTGGCAGGCTCATGAAAGTCTCCATGCAAGGTCCATAACTCAGGAGCAAATATAATAGCATTCTCCGGAAAATGTTGCATCTGAACTTTGCCTATCGTTTTCGCCTTCTACCAGCTTCTTCAAAGGTTACATGCTAAAAGCCATTTGAAAGAACCAGGAATCATGAACTAATTGTTTTGCCTTGTGAAAACTAACAGATAACTTAGGCAGACTGCTGTAATTCTTAAACTCAGATATAGGCAGGCTCATGAAATCATCATGCAGTTTCAATGACAGGACCAAATAATCGAATTGTCAGCAAATCACTGTATCTCACATTTTTTCTTTCCTTTTCCACTCCAATCAACCTATTCATAGGTTATATGCTAAAAGTCATTTGAACGGACCATAAAATATGAACAAAATAGGATATATACTAATCAGTAGAATCCTCCACATTTCCGAGACTAATTTGAATAAATATTTAGAAAAAAAAAACTATCCAACAAACAACCACAGATAAAAGTTAAACAACAGAACAAGATCTAACTCCAAAATAAAAATGAGGTAAAAGCAGAAAGAACACTACAATACGAGATCATAGCAACGATACCAAAGTCAAAAAAATCCATTAAAAACAGATTAAATATACAAAAATTCTATCAGGAATGATTTAAAAAAACTAGATTAGAAAATCAAGGAAAACGTGAAAAGAGAAATTTGAGGATTTTTTTTCTATAAAGAAGAGAAACAAGGACCTGCGGATCTTGTTCCCTTGGCCAACCTGGTACATCCCATAAGAGAAGGCACCAAAAGCAGCTAGAAAGATAGCCATAGCACTCGGACCCTTGTTGGGTATACGACGGGCGTATCTGACGGGAGCGAACCCACCCGGAGGAGGCCCATCTTGGAGGATCGGCATGTCCTTCACACTCGCCATTCCTGGCTTCTTCCTTATCACAGCCTCCGTCATTTTCTCTTCTTCTTCTTCTTCTTAGTTCTAGAATAGAGACAGAGAGTTCAACAAAGTGAAGAGTCTACGGTGGTGGTGGTGGTGGCGATATAGAGGAGGAGGTTCTTAAATTAGCTTGGGTCCTGTTTTGGGCTGCGGCACCTGGTGGGCTTATTTTGGGGAGTTGTGTTTTGTTACCTATCTCCATGGTTTTTAGAATCGAACCGGTCTGACCGGTCGGAATAATCGGACGATGTCATAATTATTTAAAAAATTAAATAAAAATATCAAAAATATTTAATAAAAAACAATTTTTTATATCACAAGTCATATTCAAAGAAAGTCATAACATATATAAGTTAAAAACCATAAAATCAAGTGAAACAAAATGATTCAAATTAACTACAACATAATATTTAAGATAAAACATATTAAATAATAAATATAATTATATAACTATAATTAAAAAAAAAATTGTGGTTAAAAAATCATAACAAAATGATATTGTTTGGTTTAATTTTTTTTAAAAAACAATCCCACATAGCTAAGAAACATAGAAAGCATCCCAAAAGTCTAAAGAGTAAAAATATGAGAACAAAACAATCTCACATTACTAAGAAACATAGAAGCGCATCACAACTAACTTCTATAAATAATAGAGGTAATTTGGGCATTCAAAATTGGAGCCTTTTGGTGAGCATTGAGTGAAATATTCTTTCACTTCAATCAAGCTCGAATTTCAGGCTTCAATCGAGCTTCTAATTTTTTTTTGAGTTCAAGCCTTTTTGAGTTCAAGTTTCAATATTATATTTCGAGTTTGACTTGAACTTGATAATTTTTAGCTTGTGAGTTTGAGTTGAGTTGAGCTTACTTTTAAAGTTTTCAAGTTCGAGTCGAGCTCAGCAATACTCGAGTTCGACTTGGCTCGTTTAACAAACGACGTTGTTTGATTTATTTTTTAAAAAAAAAACAAAAAACAAAAATCTCGGTTTTTCCCGTTTTTTTCGGTTTTCAGTCGGTCCGGTTCGAACGATTCAGCGATTCTGGCCGGTTCACTAATAGTGATTCAACCGGTTTAGATTAAACCGGACTAAACAACGGTTTCCGGTTGAACCGATTGAACCGACCGATCCGGTCCGATTTTCAAAACAAAGCCTATCTCTAAGGTTATATTTTATCTAATTACTCTTTTTTTAACGGCGAGTAACTACGTTGAAATCACTTAAATATTTATATAGTTATATTATTAAAATTTAAGTATGGCAGTTATGTCGACATTAATTCATAGTTAAGTGATTATTTGAATAATTTTTTTTGAATAATATAAGATGATTATAAGATAGTATATGTATGTGTTTGTTAAATTTAAAAGAAAAGTATTGAACAATAAAATATTGAAATTTTAAGTATCCAATAATTAAAGGATAAATTATAAAGAATGATCCCTTATATTTTCGATTCATCTAATCAGCGACAGATCTATAGTTTACATAGGGTGGGCACGTGCCCACCTTGAAATATGGTTTTTTTTCTGATTAGTTATTTATTTTATTGAAGGTGCTCGGCCTAGATTTTTATTTGTGCCTATTCAATTCAAAAAAATTATGTTCTTAAGATACATGTGTCACACTCAAAAATATTTCTAGATCTTGGACTGCATTTGATTTTAGTTCCATTCAGTTTTAGTCCATCGGTTGTTAACTCTCGTTACCCCTTAACCGTACTTGTAATTAAAATAAATTCACTTGCTTCTAGATCGTGTTCCATTTCCAATTCTGGTCAGTCCATGCTCCAGTTTGTTGTAAATTTGGGTTTCTTTAATCATGATTGTATGAGCAGACAAGTTAACCATTCCAAAATGAGAATATAAACCATTCATTTTTTTGAGCAACATGATTAAAACAACAGCGACATTGGAGAGTATAAATCTTTGATTTTTCTTGAGAGACAAACTCAAAACAGTAACAAAACGAGACCAAGGTTATCAAAGCATATTGATTGAATCTGAAACGTACTAATTCCAAGATAAGAACTTCTCACACAAAAAGTATCAATAGTGCAATGGTTTTGAAAGAATAACTATAATTTATAACTTTGCAAAAACTTCAGCAAAGTTATCAGCTATTTGTAAAGCTTCGATGAATGAGAGCAGCTTACACAAAATAGAAAACGTTAAAACATCTTAACATATAATGTATAAAAAAAATCCAAGAACTTTATAAAAATCTACTAAAGATTGAAAAATGAAGTTAGAAAGAAATACACTTGTGTGAGTTTTTATTTGCCAATTTCCTCTTGAAAATGGAAAATCATATTCATATTCCAAGTGCTCAAATTGATTGTTTGTCGTTTGAATGACTCTAGTTCTAACATTTACCTCTCAAGTTGACTTCCCTTCCATTGGTTTTGAACAAGAAGTCAAATTCCATTCATTTTAAAATGCCATCCATGTTTCGGTTGCGTTTTAAGTATTGTATCACAAACTTCAGAAGATGGACAAAATGAATGAGATCTTGGTAGACATATGTTATTACCTGTGAGCTTTTCTCTACGATCCTCCGTATAAGCGGACATACTAATCATACGAATTTTTAGGAACGTGAATATAGGATCCATGTAAACTTTCAGACACGTAGAGCGCACACTACGAATAACCACGTGTCGATCACCTATTATTCTTGCGAACACACCCTTATAACCAAAACTCTAAAGTATCCAAATTTGGTTGAAGCTTCACTTTTATACCTGAATTGTCCTTTAGCCGTTCAAATACCTAAAACATCAAACAATTTCTATAATAAAGATTTTGAGATAGATTAGAATGTAAAACATAGGAATTTATATATGAAAATCATATAAATATTTAACTTATTAGGTGACATCTGATATTCAGTTGTAACTTCTAAGTCGGGTGTGAGTGTTACAACGTTAAATGATTAGATACAAGTTTCAAATTAGTTTTCATATCATATTGCATGCTCTTGGCACGCTAATAACGGTCATATAAGGTTTAGAAAGGTTTTAAGACATTTTTAGAAGTGTTTCAAATTATTTTTTCTACATTTTTTTGCAGGGTATCGACATTATGCCCAATTAAGTTGCCCATAAAACAGAGTTGATTGGGAATATGCTCGTATTTAGTTGATTGTATCCTAAATGTGTGAGGAAATTTAATTTAATTCATTTTATACGTCGATCCTCGAGTATAACGTCTCTTGCTCATGTAAGACTATCGGACCAAATAGAGGTATTATATAAACAAATTAGAATCTCTTGGTTAAGCCCTCGTGTTCATAGTAAGTACGCGTATAGCCCTGAAATTCGATATTGTATGCAATTATGCCTAAATGTTTGAAAGTATAGTCAATATTTATTCATGATCGCTTGATTTTGAATGACGTCGTTTGTCCGAATGTTATGTCAAATTATAAATATGCTCGTATTTAGTTGATTGTGTCCAAAACATGTGAGGAAGTCTAATTTAATCCATTTTTATACGTCGATACTCAAATATAACATCTCTTACTCAAATAAGACTATCGGACCAAATAGAGGTGTTACATAAACAAATTTGAATCTCTTAGATTTAGCTTATGTAATGTCAAATAAATTGATATCTTGTCCAATATTATATATATATATATATATTGGTGTTCTTTATGTTCATATTCTGCCTTTGATTTTGATTTCGTCTACTTGGAGACCTATAGGGTCATGGCTTCCCCAAAATTTGAAAAATTAAATTATAGGTCTTTAAATTTTTTAAAAATTTTAATTTATCCCTGATAATATTTTTAAAAATTCATATTAAGCTTTAAAAATTTTAAGTGTTCTTAATTAAACTCCTCCTAAATTTTTTAAAATTTCTCATTAAGCCTCTCAAATTTTCAAAAAAAAATTTAGTTAAGCCCCAATCCTTTTTGAAAAAAATGTGAAATGAACCCTTCAAAAATTTTGAAAAAAAAAATTAATTTAAACCTCTAATTTTAAAAAAATTTAAATTGATTTCTCAAACTCTATCACCAAATTCCATCGTTGTTCATGTACCCTTGATTTTCACGTATTCTACACTTCCTTTTAAACCTTGTTTTTTTGAATGTATAGACAAGCATAAGTCATGTTAAAAAATGGAAGATGATAATAGTTGAAGATGAGGTAGTAGGGATTAAACTTGTAAAATATTAAAATATTGATGTTAATTTTTTTAATATTAAAACTAATAAAATATAAAATATAAAAATTAAAAGTTATATTTATTATTATACTTATTTTATTAACCATCACATAATCTGTTATTATTTTTTGGAAGACAAAAGACTAACTTTTAACTTTCATTAACACGGATGCTCATATATAATTCTTTAATAGTTGAAGAATACATGAAAAAGTATTCTATAGTTTAAGGACTAACTGTATAGTTTACCCAAATAAGTAACGAATAGTTGACGTGAAATAATTAACTGAAAAACTGCTGGAATCACGTTCACATAATTACACTGAACCCTCCTCCGTACACTCCTTGATTGCCGTTAAATGGGTCCATTTCAAAATAATCCGATTCGTCATCAATGGTTCTGATTTCAATAACAGGATGTGGACACCATTATACGTTGCGAACAAAAGCAAATTTCACACAAATTATTAATAAAAAGAAGAACCCTAAAAATCAGACATTTCCTCGTTTTCCTAAAAAAAAATAAACTCAACGTTTTCTTCACCTTCGTTTTTCTTTCTCTTATGTTCGAGAAGGTAGAGTTGTTTCAGAAATGGAAGCTTTTGATATGGCCGTTTGTTTTGACGACAAGTTATTAGACTTCGGCTCCGACGTCGGAGAGAAAGATGAAGACGAAGATGAACAGAACTATAACTTCTCAAAGCTTAGCAATAACAGTTCTCTTCCTGTAAGTTTTTTTTCTTCTTCTTTTATTGGCTTATTATGCCTTTTTGTTTATAGTACTAGAATTTTCGAGCTTTCTCGGCGAGGGCTTAAAGAGGCCAAGTTTGGTGCTAACTCGGCCGAGTCTTTGCTGTTTGGTAGGTTTTTCTCAAGGCTTGGGGGAACTAGAAAGGTGAGCTGGCTCGGTCCGACTCTGTTAGTGGGGGGAAATAGGTTGTTTGGTTTTGAGTCGATCTCGGGAGGTTGTTCCGAGTCAGGGATGAGGATGACCCGGTTTGGGTCAAAGCGGACGGCGCGAATCTGATTCTTGCTTGTTTATTATTGATTGGTCCCACTATATTGTTTTGGAGGACAAATTTACCCATCACGTTCGTAACATTATTGAATGACGGGCATATGATGTTGAGGGGTAGTTTTGGGGTTTGTGATAGTCGAAGGGGGAAATGTCGCTATTGAGATGAGCTGTTAAACACATGCTGACAGCTGTGCTAATAATTGTCAGCAACCTCTCCATTTTATGAAAATAAAAATTGATATCCATTATGAATTTTTTTAAAAAAATCTTTTATTGTGAAAAGTCAAATTATATCCAACTTTCAAACATTATCATTTTGTCGTTGCATGCGTATCCTACAAGACCCACCTTTGTCTTTCCCTCTTAGCCGGCAGAGTTAGCCAGCTGAGTTTAAATGCTTCTCTTTTGACTGCTGGTAATAAATGGCACCCCTAAATATTCATCGAGGAATACTTTTTTTCTTTGTTAATTTAAATATTTATCAAATTAAAGTATATTATTTTTAAATTTTAGATTTTTTAATAAATTATATATTTAATCACATATCTATTCTTGATGTTTTGTTTGGATCACTAATATTTTTTTAAATTATAATTTTTTAACGAGTAATCAAAATAAAATTAAATCTTAATGTCATGTATGATTTTGAAAGTAAAATAATTGATCGACAAAAACAGAACACGAGAATAGATAGGTAATTAAATATGAAGCTTACCTTTCAATTTTTGTTAGTTATATGTTAACTTTGGGAATAGATAATGTAACACCTACACCACTGTTGACAGGAATTTGGAGAGGAAGAACTAGAATGGTTATCAAACAAGGATGCATTTCCAGCCGTGGAGACATCGTTCGTGGATATTTTAGGGGCCACAACGCAGCACCAGAGCCCTGTTTCAGTACTCGATAATAGCAACAGCAACAGTTCAGGTAGCACAATTTTAAGCAGCGGAACCGTTGTAATGAATTGGTGCGACAAGTTTATAGTACCGGTGAAGGCGAGGTCGAAGCGTGTGCGTAAATGTCGGGACATGAGGAACCAAGAGAACAGGTGGTGGGTAAAGGAGAATGTGAAGAACGTTAGAGTGGGTCGTGTAGGAAGGAAATGCCAGCATTGCTTGGCGGAGAAGACACCTCAATGGAGGGCAGGGCCGCATGGACCTAAAACACTTTGCAATGCTTGTGGGGTGAGGTACAAGTCGGGGCGTTTGGTGCCGGAGTATCGTCCAGCAAGTAGCCCTACTTTCTCCGATGAGTTGCACTCCAATTCCCACAGGAAGGTATTGGAAATGAGGAGGCAGAAGCAGTTGGGGTTTTCTGCAATCAAGCCCATGGATAAAGGGTAGTTTTCTTCTTAGCTGATCACTGCACCTTTTATGTTCCGTTTTTTTTTTGGGGGGTGGTTTCAAGTTAGTGTAGTCATGTGTTATTTTAGGAGTTGGTTTGTAATGGGCTTAGATTGGGCTTATGAAAGTTGCTCTTTTTTTAAATGAAAAATTTAGGGAAATTTTGACTTTGTTGCGTTTTGATTTATTGGTTGGACTGATGTGTTTTTATAAATAAAAAAATAGGGGAAATGAATGTTTTTATTTGGATTTTATCCAATTCTTTTAAGTGTTTGGTGTTACAAGAATGTGTATTAGGGTGGAGATGTGCTCATGTTTGATTGTTTTGAACTTATAGGTAATGGGGAGTTTCCATTTGTATAACAGAGACTATTTTCAATGTAACGAATATACTAAAATATTATTCAAAATTTAATTCAATTGATTCATTGAATTGAATTTTAATAACCTAAAAATCTAATTGGTAAAACTGGAATATTTCATGGATTTTTGTTATTCAGAATCTAGTAGAGGACTTAAAATATATCATTGTTTGTAATATTTGATTGCATTTGCAGGAAGAAGCCAAATAAGATTTGATGAATTACTTTGTCTAGGTTATGCACATTGATTTGACTTTGTTCCAATGCACTGTCCATGTAATGGCCATGGGTCACAGCCTCACGGGTCCATTATCGTCTCCCACAAAATTGACACAGGTTAGAGGAAACATATTTATTGCACGTGACAGTCGCATATGGCCGCAAAGTCGGACATAAAATTTTATGTTATAGAGACGAATAAAATTTTAAGGGGTGAAGACAAATATCAATAAAAAATATACAAAACAATTTAAAAATTTAAGAGGAAATGACTATTTCTATCCGTTTCCTTCGATCCATCCCTACTTGTATAAAAGTTATGATCTCATTTGATGCAGATGAAAACGACATGAAGTGGAGAAATAAAAAGGAAAACCTTGAACCTAATTTGATGCATGATGATTGAAGAGAAATAATAAAATCATGAAAATCACCGACAACCAGTTGTTTAATGGAATTATGCACTAGATTCTTTAAGTAAGGTTAGGAGTTCAAACCCTAACATTTATTAATAGAGCAAATTGCGTTGGGAGAGTCACCCTTGCCTCTACAAAATTAAAAAATCATGAAAATCAATAAATAAAAAAGAAGAAGGATATAACGATAAGTTTAAAATTGCGGTTAGGTTTCCACGTACTTAGCCGATAGGTTTGACGAGCACACTCTTTAACTCGAATCTAAAAACAACAAAGATCAATAATAAAGAAATCTTTTTTTAAAAAAAGCTTCAAATTATTATTTTTGGATGTGACGTCACTCTTTACTAAAAACGTGAGTTTAGATGGATAGAATGTTGTATCTTGTAATGATATTTCATATTAATAACCTAGATGAAGGCCTTAAGTCAGAAAAAAATGGATGTTTAACCCTCGTAGTATATTTCGTCTTAGTAACTTAGGCGAACGTTTTAAGAAATAATAGATGGAAGTCTAATCCTCTAAAGATAGTCTTCAGAAACCTAAACGATGAAGAAGAAACCTCAACATGTCGAAACACTGTATAATTTTCACATTTTAAAGCAAGAACAAGCTAAATAAATTGGACATGATAGAAAAACTCTCAAAAGATTTTTGTACAAAGAAAGTTGTTTATTTATTGATTAATTGGTGGTAGAATATAGATGAAGAGTACCTACTGATAGGATGGTAAAATCCTAAAACCAAGATAAAAAATATTCAAAATTTTATAAAATGAATATTATTATATATCAAATAATAATAAAAATATCATAATTTAAATAGTAAAAGCCAAATATAAATAAGAATGAAAATCGAATCTAATTTGAGATGAGAGCAACAACTGTCAAATAATATTAAAAGTTGGCTTTTCAATGAAAAATCTCATCCGTTTGATGCTAATGCATTTTTTTTAGTACTGAAAATCTTAATTTTCACTGTTTCACATAAGGTTTGTTATTTCAGCACATATATGCTGTGGCCACATTAAGTACATGCTGAAGTAACTACATCAACAACGACAATATATAATAATATTCTTCATCCAGACACACGAAATAAAGTTGCAAAGAAATTCAGACAAGAACAATCAACGACAGGGAATCCAGTCACGCAAAAAGCGACCTGTATTCCTCTGCTTCTTTACACATCTCTTCCATACTTCTGTCCTTCCTTTCCTTATCTAAGTCAAGCTTCCCCTTCAGTTCGTTCTCCTTCGCATCTATCTACACCACGAACATAAGACAGTTAAAACTAGTTGTCCATTGTTATCGCTAATATATGCTAAGCAGATCAGAGTATCTATCTTACTGCATCGTAGATCTCATCGTTCTTCTCAAAGTCACCATCTTTCCTTGGAAGGATATGAACGTGAACATGAGCAACTGTCTGCCCTGCCTTTGGTCCATCCTAAAGTACAAATCAACACATTGCTAGTCTTTAGTCCTTATATATAGCAGCATAAGCATTAACACATGGTAATAACAGCAAGAACTTCGGTGCGTATCGCACCATAAAATTCCCCCCTTCAATTTTCTATAAGAAAGCATAGTTTTCATTCACAAAATGGCCAATCAGACCCACTAATTGCTGGTTATTGATAGTTTTCATTCACAAGTGGCCAATCACACACACTAATTGAAGGTTATTGCATGAGAACTCGAAATGGGAAATTGTGGCCATAAGAGTCGACACAAGGTTCTCAGCAAAGGCATTGAAAGAGTTGAAAACCACAAACACCAAGGATCATCCCAAAATGAAGGGGTCTAATTTGGCAAAGAGAATTATGAATAGGATGAAGATTTAACAATTTTAGAAACTATTAAAACCAATCTATGATATATGATTATTCTAGAAGATTCATCTCAACGAAAGGGACTATATGCAAGCTTCAGAAACAAAAACTAGAAGTGAGCAAAAAATAAAAGCAGATTGGTAAAACCATGGACAAACTGGTCCACGTCCTCATCACCTCTGCTACAGCCAGACAAGGAGAGCAGATAAAATTTAATATTGACTAACGTATGATATGTAAGCAAAACAATGTCATCTACTATGACAACACTAGCGCGGAAGCCCTATATGTACTTAATCAAGTAATAGATCAAGACTACAAGCCTTATTTCCTTACTTGGATGGTAAAAGTGAGTGATGACGCCTCATGAAAACGCTCAAGCCCTCCACCGATCCTCTGTGCAGTTAGCCATAAATCTTGCGTCTCTTCAACAGTGAGATCAGCAAACCGCTTAACTTCACGCCTTGGGCAGACAAGCACATGTACACATTGTTAAGGAAACCAGATTCAACCATGATTTTTTCAACAATGAAGATTCATGATTTCCTAACATATTTTATCAAAAACCATTGCAGCTCACATGAAACAAATGCATCACATATGTCGGTACCAGTTTAGCATGCAATTCTTTTCTTTTTTTCTTTTTGATAGAAGAATGTAATGCTTTGGATATATAGTTAGAATGACATTGTCAATCAATTTCCTTCGCATCTTCCTAAAATTTTGTGAATTCTACATATACATACTATCCATAAATAAATACATATATGGGTGTGTGGGTTCACATGTACCATCAATACTCCTCTGCCACAACAAGCTGGCATACTTCCCAAAAAAAAAAAAAAAAAAAATTAAGTACCAGGTTTCCATATGAAGAGTTTTATCTATGGCAGACATTTTTTCTTACTACCAAAAGATCGAATAAGGTAACCTCATCATTAGGAATTAACTAGATGAATGCTCAATCTCTGTGGTAAATTATGTTTAATATCGAAAAATCACCACCATTTATTCTACTGTTAGCCCAAAAGCATACATGTAACAAAGTAAAAAACATGATTGGATTTAAATTAAAAGGATATGACCTGGAACAACAGGACGGAGGTTGACCATGGCATAGGAAAGGGGGGTGGAGTAGAAGACCTCCTTGGGGTCTATCTTGTACGGGCCGAACGTATAGAACTCCATTGACATCTGCAGCAACAAATTGGTTGTAAATACCAGTTTTTAATTGTTGGGTGAGCACTCATACAATTGAAAAAATGTTTTGGCACTTGCCTTGGCAGAGGGGGCGGCGGGGAATGAAGTGGTTTGGAAACCTCTCCTAAAAAGGTTGATAGAGCAGCTGCGCCCGCCCAGACCCAAACCTATATAGAAAACAAACTGTGTCATTCAGTCACTTGGGGCTCTTCCTTTTAGGTTTTCGTTACGTCAAATCGGCATGTGCGATTTGGTACTAATTTGTTAAATTATTAAGTATGTTCAAATTATACTTAAATTTAACTTATATCCAAAGATTTTTTTTCTTAAAATTAAGTATCTAACGTTTCTAACATTATAATTTTAAGTATATAAATTATAACCGTTATTAAATGACACGTATTACTATATAAATTCATTTATTTTTATTTTTAAATACGTTAAATTAGTATTTTTATATTAAAAACCAAAACTTTTTAAAATTATAAAAAAAAACTTCAAAACCTCTAATTTTAAGACAATTTTTCCAATAAATCACCAGTGATCGGTATATTTACCGATCTAACACCGGTCAGATTATATTTTTCGATCTAACACCCGTAGCAGTAAAGCGCGCCCCTGAATCGCGCTATACGTTGATTTGGCGCCACGTGGGTATAGTGCGCCCCCTGATCCGCGCTATACCTGAGTATCTGACACGTGGGGTATAACGCGATGCATGGGTGCTCTATACCCCTAAATACACGTCCCCATCCTCCTATAAATACCCCATCCTCAATTACTTTTAGGGTAAAGTATAGTAATGGTCACTGAACATTTCAGAAGCTTGCATTTACGTCCCCCAACATTTAAAACTTGCAATACAGTCCCCCAACATTTATTCTGTTTGCAATATGGTCCCCCAACTTAAACCACAGTTAGAAAATTAGGATAAATTATAAAAATGGTCATTGAACTTTTCAGTCACTTGAATTTAGGTCCCCCAACTTTTAAAACTTGCAAAACAATCATCAATTTCATTCTAAACCCCAATTTCCAAAGTAATTCAATTTTATTCTAAACCCTAAATTCCAAAATACTTAAATTAAATTCAATTATGTCAAAGTTATTATTATTTAATTTCATCTTATTTCATGTGATACGTATTTTTTATATAAATATAAGGGTAAAGTATAGTAATGGTCACTGAACATTTCAGAAGCTTGCATTTAGGTCCCCCAACATTTAAAACTTGCAATACAGTCCCCCAACATTTATTCCGTTTGCAATATGGTCCCCCAACTTAAACCACAGTTAGAAAATTAGGATAAATTATATAAATGGTCATTGAACTTTTCAGTCACTTTAATTTAGGTCCCCCAACTTTTAAAACTTGCAAAACAATCATCAATTTCATTCTAAACCCCAATTTCCAAAGTAATTCAATTTTATTCTAAACCCTAAATTCCAAAATACTTAAATTAAATTCAATTATGTCAAAGTTATTATTATTTGATTTCATCTTATTTCATGTGATACGTATTTTTTATATAAATATAATAGTATAATTCTTATCTGATGAAGAAATTTTTTAATTAAAAAAAGTAGTTAAGATATAAAAGAGGTTGAAAATAATTCAAATTTTAAATTTATAAAATGTTATTTTGACGTATAAATAAAAGTGTAAACTACTCGGTTGACAACTTAACTATCTAGCCCTTTTTACTTTTGTCATCGATCTTTTAAATTTATCAATCATACCACATAATTATTTAACTGTTTCAACTAAGCCACTAGTCGTTACCAATTGATAAAAATGATGATGTGGCAGTTAAAAGGAATTGACATTATTATACATTCAGTCTTTATTATTTATATAATCAATTTGGTCCTAAATTATATAAAATTTAATAAATTAATCATTTAATTAGGATCTGACATGTGTTAGCACATGATCATGACACGTGTTAGCACATGATCATGACACGTGTCATTGGTGACACGTGTTACCACCTAATTATTTATATATGCTATCAATTTGGTCCTAAATTAAATAAAATTTAATAAATTAATCATTTAATCAGGATCTGACATGTGTTAACACATGATCATGATATGTGTTATTGGTGACACATGTCACCTCCTAATTAGAAGAAATTAAGTTACAAGAAGTAAAATTTGGGTCTTGGGCAAACTCAAACCTGAGTCACGCAAATGAAAGATATAGGGTGGAGCCACTAAGCTAACACCATCGTTTGTGTTAAGAGATATACAATAATACATATACTAATAGTATGACCAATGCCAGAAAAAAAGAATATAATGTAAAATGGAAATAATGAGATTTGAACTTCGGCAAAAAATTTGAAAGCAATAAATGATGGGAAAATATTATATTTTTTACAATAAAAAAATATTATATTTGATAAATTGTTTGATAGATTTAATATATTTTTTAAATATTAGTTGATACAATATTTTAAAAGAATAAATTTAAGATTTATATATTTTTAAACTAAATTTAATAATTATATTTTTCATATTTATAATTCATGATTATATATATAATCTTAAGTTGAGTATTTCTAATATAATTAATAATTTTAATTTCTTATTAAAAATAAAATATTCAAAAAATATAAATGATTCATACATTAATATGAATATATTTTTTATTTATACATCTAAATATAAATATACATTTATATAAATATATTTTTATTCGTTGTGTCTGTGCCTTGAACTCTTTCTTCAAGCCTATATTACCTTAAATTGAAGTATTTTAGAATTTAATTGAAGTATTTTAGAATTTAGGGTTTAGAATAAAATTGAATTACTTTGGAAATTGGGGTTTAGAATGAAATTGATGACTGTTTTGCAAGTTTTAAAACTTGGGGGACCGAAATTCAAGTGACTGAAAAGTTCAATGACCGTTTATATAATTTATCCTAATTTTCTAACTGTGGTTTAAGTTGGGGGATCGTATTGCAAACGGAATAAATGTTGGGGGACTGTATTGCAAGTTTTAAATGTTGGGGGACCTAAATGCAAGTTTCAGAAATGTTCAGTGACCATTACTATACTTTACCCTTACTTTTATCACACCAAATTCTCTCAAATTCTCTAAATTTCTCCCAAATACTCTATCTTTTTAAGATATATTTTATAATATTTTTACTATTATGTATTTACTTTATTTAATATTTTACTATATAATTCTTTTGCAGATATATAATGGAAGACAATCTACTTCGCTCGGATAGAAATCATATATCTCTACACTTTGCTGATACGGTAACATTTTAACGTTTTAATTTAATTTAAATTATTAGTAATATTTAGTTGATTTATTTAATGCATGATTATTAGATTAAAAATTAAATATCTCGACACTTTGCTGATACGGTAACATTTTAACGTTTTAATTTAATTTAAATTATTAGTAATAATTAGTTGATTTATTTAATGCATGATTATTAGATTAAGAATTAAATATCTCGACACTTTGCTGATACGATAACATTTTAACGTTTTAATTTAATTTAAATTATTAGTAATAATTAGTTGATTTATTTAATGCATGATTATTAGAGTAAGAATTAATTTTTGCAATTATTTATTTTTAGGAGAATGACCGTGTATTAGATCCTTTTATTAGGAATCTTAAGTTAGTGATACCCAGCCGTGTCTTGCCATATTTAGTAGAAGCTGGATTCGGTTACATAGGTAGATATCAGGGTCACTGTAAGATAGAGTCAAACCTGATTTCTGCCTTAGTAGAGCGGTGGAGGTCGGAGACCCACACATTCCATCTTCCGTGCGGAGAGTGCACGATCACGCTTGAGGATGTTTCTATGCACCTGGGGCTTTCGGTGGATGGAGATGTGATATTGGGGATAGCTTCCGGTTCTTGGACTACTTTGTGTCGGGATAGTCTAGGACGTGTCCCGGAAAATTTTATCGGAGGTAGGATACCGTTAAATTGGTTAGATGCCAATTTTCGGGAGTTGAGCGCAGACGCCTCTGAGGATGAGGTTAAGATGTATGCACAAGCATGCATACTGCAGTTGATAGGAGGGTTGCTGATGCCGGACAAATCGCGCAACCTAGTTCACTGCATGTGGTTGCGACATCTTAGATACTTTCGTCTCGTCGGATCATTCAGTTGGGGCTCGGCAGTTTTGGCTTTGCTGTACAGGGAGATGTGTGGAGCCACTGACTACAGACGTAATGCTATGGGCGGATGTCTCCTGCTGCTGCAGTCTTGGGCATGGTATCGATTGCCCTTTTTATGTCATGTTGTGAAGAACCCATTCGTATTTCCACTACTTCTGAGGTAATTATAAAATTGATTTTGTATATTAATAATTTTATACAGCGTATAACAATTTTTTTCCTTGAATAGGTGGTCTACTGATAGGAAAAATCATTAGGAGCTACTTGATGATTTAGAAAAAATTAGGGTGCTAATCGATCAGAAGGCTGGCACACATGTATGAATTTTAATGTATAAAAATCGATTTTAGATTATAGTTATATAATTAGATTATTATTTTGAAAAAAATTATATATTATTTGTTTTAGTTTGAATGGGTGCCATATTCTACTGATGATGTAAGGGCGGTGGTCCCACCTGAGTTGAGGGGTCCATCAGATGTTTGGATGGCGATGGTCCCTCTGATCTGTTATGCGACCGTCGAGTGGCACTCCACTGATCGCGTACTCCAGCAGTTTGGTTGTTTTCAACCAATTCCGGAAGCACCTTGCAATATAGATGAGTTGCATAGCTTAGATAAACGCGGCAAGACAGATACAGATTGGTTGGTGAGGCATCATGAGTGGGTCGTGTTGTGGGAGGATCGACATCGGCGCCTTCCACGTAGAGAGCCCATTTTTACTGACTTCTTGATGTATGATGAGGATTATTATGAGTGGTTCAATAGTAACGGGAAAATGTTTCTACTTCCTGAGGATGCACGAGGGCAGACCTTTCCACGACATCGACAGAGACGTTCACCGACACAACACCATCGTCCCCCGACTCGTGGATGAAGATCAAGTGGTTCTGGTTCATCCTCGGCTGCACCAGCAGGACCTTCCCAGTAGCCACCGCAACCATATATGATGCCGCAGCCATATATGATGCCGCCATCGTCTTTCTATTACCAGATGCCGCCGCCTTCATCTGGTTTTATGACCCCGCTACCGCTACCGTCACAGATGACCCC